GGGGAGGGGAGGGGAGGGGAGGGGAGAGGAGAGGAGAGAAGAGAGGAGAGAGGAGAACAGAGGAGACAGAGAAAATCTTAATTGTCCTAATTCTTCCATACTGCTTCTCATCTCATGTTCAAAAACTACTATTATGGATGCAAAACAAAGAAGATCCTGCTCACTATTATACAGCTATTGCCTTTCTTGAGTTTGCTTTTTGTTCTATGCCAATTTCTAATATTATGAAGTAATAAAAGATTACAATAAAAGATGCTGACAATTCACATAATTCTCATACTGCTGTATAATTACTGCTATTTAAGGTGAAAGAGTATACAACGAAATGTCTCTGAACAAATTTCAGAAAGGTAAGTACCAATGGGTTCCCATCGTCGGTCCTTGTTAATGAACTTGCCCTACTGGGATAACCACAGGTAACTGCTCACCCTGGGGGGTCTCTGGTGAGACAGCTCAGGAGAAAGCCAGCGAGCCCTGGCTGCAGGGTTCGTGGCTTAGCTCACAAGCAGCTAGCAAGTATTAACTAAACTGAGACCTCCAAACTCACTGGACAAGAGCCTTCTGATGGAAACAAATTTCCTTCTTTATCCTCACATTCTGCTTCTGAATCAGCAATCTAGAGGTAACAGAAATTTCATCAATGTCCAAAACCATCTAAGTAGCCCTTATGGAATAATGCTTACGAACTATATCATGCTAGTGCTTTACATCTTGCTACTTTTAGCATTATGTTAAAAGAAAAATCTGGATCGTATCTTTGGATAACTATGAGGTCTTTAAACTCCATCTCTTTTGGATCTTATTAATATTGTTAATGTTTTCCTGTCTGAGAGAGTCTTAGTAGAAATTCTAAAACATGCTTTGAGACCATTACAGTGAGAACTGGACAGGGATGATGGGGACAGAGAGCCTTCATGCATTTATTCTCTACTATCCTGTAAGTGACTCAAAAGGCAGGGATCGTTTTCTGTATCCTTAGCTCAAGGCAGGTAATCAGTAAATGGGAAATTACTGGGTTGGGGGGTGAGCAGATCTATGGACAGACTGCCACTTCAATGACAATTCTCATAAGGAAGCAAGGCTAGAGAAAGGATGATTAATAACTGGCTAGACTCTTTGGTCATGGTTTCTTTCTTCCAACAGAATTCAGAAAAGACTATGTTTATTAAGCAACAGTAGCCTAACATAGTTAATCCTGCACGTCAGCATTTAAGATTTGCCTTTGTGGCTTTGAGGTTCCATCAGTCTCCATATTTTAGTTTTTGTCTTTTATCCAATCTTTAACTTCCCCTTTATCTTCTCTTCATTTTCTTCTCCGAAATGCATCTAACAGTGTTTAAAGGTGTTTTCCCAAACAATGGTTAGGCAATAACAACCTAAATAACATTTGTAAAGAAGACCTCTCAGTACTGTCCCTAGAAAGGATTTTGTCCTTCATCATGGGTATTCCTTCTTCTGTGGGGCTCTTGCTAAAAAGTTCTCTGCTTCCTCTGGCTTTAAGAGGTAGAGAGAAACATTAGCTAAGTGACCATCATCCAGCAAGTTCTTGTGAACAGCAAAATTCTACTGTATTTTGAGAAATAGCAATCTGTTTTATAACCCATTAAATAAATACTTCCATGTTTCTATCCTATTCTTTGACAACAAATTCTACATGGGAAACAAAAATAATTACGTACATATTTCTTCACTGTAACTTCAAAAATGCACTACAGATCTTTAGCACTAGAATCCCATTGCTTGGCCAAGAGAAGGCATGCAAAACATCTGTTGAATGAATCAATGACATCTGATTCTCTCTCCACAAGAACTTGAAGCACATTTAAGAGACATCTGAATTCCAAAAAACTTAAGTTCCCAAAAACTTTCTGAAAGATGTAACATTAATGCTGAAAACAGATGTAAAATTTGTAAAGCTAAAACTACTGTAATGGGAACTGTTGCCCATTCTTGGACAGCGTATTAAATAGCTCACACAGGCATGCAGATAGGAACACCAGTGAAGCATAATTTCAGACTTACCTTGCTATGAGGGTCAGCAAACATTCGGGTAAAAATCTCACACAATCTCTTCAATTCTACTCGACTACATGAAATAAAACAGAAATAAATGACTCTAAATTTAAATATCAGCACTTCAATGGGTTATAGCTTTGCTTTCAAAAAATCCTGTTTCGGCCAATTGTACAAATCTAACAATCTTTATTCACGGAAGATTTTTTTCAAAAATGAATTGCCATAACAAATTTATGATCAAACTAATTATAAAACCATATATTTGCTATCATTTTAGGATGACAAAACAGGAACACAAAGAGACATCTCTGTTCAAGTTTGCACATCTGGAAGTGCATGAGCCAAATCCCGTCACATCATCCCTCATCAGTTTTCCACCTGCCATAATGAAAAGGTAACGGGCTAAACTAGAACACATGCTTGAAAGCCCTGAAACCTTCATCTCAATTCTGTGACAAACACAGTACCATGATATGTCCCAGTCAGTCACCACCTGAAGACACAGCTGCTTTATTAGCGAGACAGTTGTATGGTTGCTGAGAGAACTGGGGACGCTAACATCTCACACCTACTTCCGTGCCAGGGACAAAGCCAAACCAAGGTGACCAGTGTGCCCCACTGAGTGCCTTTTTCACCCTGAGGATGGAAAGAAAGATGTGCTTTTCCTCAAATCACCCAAGTGATTTCCTTGTGTAGATGAGGTACTGATCCTCCGACACTGCCACAGTACGACTTGATGAGACCAGTGCTGATACAAAGATTTCTACACGTTCTTGAGTCCATAACTGGCAAAAGCATAGAATCAAAAAGTGGGACCAGCAGGATAAAACAGATTCTTGAAGAATGATCAAGACAAGTCATCCTTGTTTCATCTTTGAGAGAACACCAGCGGGGTCAGGGATGCATGGACCTCTCCTACTCAGGAGTGAGTGGAACAGCATGGACAGGGTGGTGCGGGGCTGAAGACCGAGTGCGGAGCACAGCTACTCCTCACCAGAGCTTGCAGAGCCGCACAAACCCAGGAGGGCTCTCGGCCCAGGGCCACACGTTCCTAGTCTCACAACTTATTTTTAACATCATGTTTTCAAATTCTGTATCATTGTTTTTAGGGTTTCTCTTTAAAAAAAAACAAACCCACAAGATATGATACACTGTATGTGGATTCTGCACTGCCCATTTCTCAGTTACTACTCATCTCTCTTCTTTCATCTTGGCTACTGAGATTCAGCTTGTAATAAATGACATTAATACTGTCATGTTTAATAAACAGCATTTCTTACAATTTCTTTAGTGAGATATAAAACAATGGTGTGTTAACAGGGTCTTATATTTGATGGGGGATGGTGTGAACTTCTGGTGTATGTAATACATGCTTATTTTGTAACACCTATGACATAGAGAAACACAGAAAAGTAAAAACTAATTCTAAAGATGTTACTATTTTGGAGTGCTCTATTTTATTATGCTTACTCTGCATATTTATAAGCCACATAAATACGTATGTTTTATAAAGTTTTAGACTGAGACGGGTACCATTTTTACTAAACCCTTAAGAGGAATGAACCATACAAACTTGCAGCATTTTCATTTTTTACCTTAGCTGCAAACTTTCCCAAAATTTCTCAAGTAACAACATCTGATGGACAAACAGGAACCTTACAGAAACTGAATGTTCTACAAACCTAACAAATCATACAGTCTGTGGCTGGCAAGTACTGTGTCTCAGTCACTAGCACCCTGAGTGCTAAGCCCAGCAATCAGAACTTGATAAGGACTCCAACAAATGACAAGGAAGCCCTTGAAGCCCCCGGTGAGTGAGCAGGGATTTCAAGTGGGGTTCACAGTCCTCACCTCAGTGTTCTTTGGCTTTTCAGTAAGTTCTGTAGGCCCAGCAGCCCTTCTTTCCTTTCAGACCAGTTTGAACTTGCACAGTGGTTGAGAACTTCCGCTACATCCTCAGTCTGCCGCAGATAATGGGGAATGCCACCATTCCTGGAGCCATAGGAGCGCTCAGAGCAGACGCTGGAGGCATCACTGTTGGCATCGTCATCAGAATACATCCCATACGGCTCGTATCTCCTCCGCACAGGCTTCTTCTGATGGAGCCAATGGGGGTTGGGGATGAATGAAGAGGAAATGGAAGGTGAGAGGTCGCGAGTCATACCAGACAGAAACAGTAAGGAGCTGAATGTAAGTAAAAACATAAAGCGACATACACTTTGCCTGTGCTTACAGGCCAGGGAAATAAAAATAGGAAAGCAGTCTTCCAGTAGGCAAGATAGGTTGTAAGTACTGCACTCCTTGGTGGGAAAGAGAATGAGGTGTCTGACACAGCTTATGGGCTTTTCTTAGGACTGGGTCACAATCCAGGCACCAGTTGGACAGGCTGCATGACTTCAGAAAGACTCTGAAGCTCTCTGCTTCAGTTTCCTCATCTTTCAGAGGGCAAGAACCATTTGGAACCCACAGGCCTGTGGTGAGGGTTCAATGAAATTTGTCTTCAATAACTGAGCTGAGCACCTCCACATGGCAGGGAGGGGCACCCTCAGCCCTTCTGCAGCCAAAAGCAATCAATCTGGAACAGGGACCATGGGTACCATGGCTTGCACATTCATGTTCCCCTAAGCAAGCTCCAGGCATGGGGGAGCATACCTGCAACCGCAGTACTCTGACAAGTCAAGGCAGGAAGACAGCAAGTTTGAGGCTTGCAAAAACAAGCCTGAGAGCAAGAACACCTGCTTTGTTCACTTATATCCCACATACAGAACTATATTAAGCCATAAAGGACATAGCCATAGCTATGTAAAATTGATAATTTTTTAAATAAAATTTTTTCTAAAAGTGACTAACTTAAACCATACATTTTTTTTTTTTTTAAATAGGGTCTCACTATGTAGCTTATTCTGTTTTCTTCCTTTGGTACTGGAATTTGAACTGAGCCTTTTGCTTGCCAGGCAGAAGCTGTGCCGCTGAGCTATATCCCCAGCTTCTCACTAAATCGTTTATATTGTCGTTGAACTCACCATGTAACCCAAACTGCCCAAGAACTCCCAGTAATCCTGAGTGTTAGTATTATAGGTTTGTACCACCATGCGTGGCCAAGAAATGTAATTCTTTAGTTACACTAATGATTATGGATCCCAATTTGCTCAGGACTCTTCGGCTGTCTATTGTCCCCCCATAATTATTAGTACACCCTGTTTTTCACTCTCAAAAGTATTTTTGTTTGGATGATAGACTACGGGGTAACCCCACTTACATATAAACTACAGTTCTAAAATAAGAAAAATGTCAATGAATTGATCCCTAAAAAAATGATGACATAATAGGCATAGATTGAATTAATAAAATGAAATACTCATAGAAGGAACAAAACCTGATATTCAAAATAAATACCAACACAAGCATATGTGAAAGGTGACTGATTCCATAACAGATTCAATAGGGTTGTAACTCAAACCAGAATTTCTATACTTTACTACATTTTGTGCTGTTTCTACCAGACTCTAAAAGAAATATACTTGCAACAGAAAAAAATAAAGTTGTAAACAAAAGTTAAAGCACTGGTACCTTGCTCCTGGCGTCTCCTAACAGCTGTAGGCAGGAAAATATTGAAGGATGGGGAAAAAGCATAGAGAATTATGTCAGAAGCATATGTTGGGATTGTTCTGGCAACAAAAGTGTACAGCAAAACATCTTTTAGCAAACAAAAAACACAGGTCAGCAAGCGTTTCATATCAAGGGGTAATAATAAGTTAGACTGCACTCAAAATGGCATTTCCTCACCCTTCTACGCCTCTCCTAAAACTCTGCTTTTTTGTTCTAATTCTTTGTCAAAACTCTCCCCACACCCACAAAGCGCATCTCTAAGCTCACCATTAATCTAAAACTTATCTGTTTGTATGAGACACCCTGTCTGTCCTTGGGGCTTCCATCCAGTAGGCAAGGACTCAGTGCCACTCCTGCATTTTCTCTTCAGGAGCATGTCATATGATAGACCAAACTGGGTAAATGAGAGGCAGCAAGGCCAACAAAGAGCACTGCAGGAGGGAAAGCCAAAGCTCAGCTCCCCAGCTCTGTCTCTGTTCTGTCGGATAGAACGTGGCACACTGCCTCTTATGTAATTATTTAAAAAACAAAAACAAAAACGAATAAACAAACATGGTCTTCTGCCTTAACTGGAAGTTCCATTTAGCCAAAGGTTTCTTCGCATTTCACTGTTTCAAATCCCCATTGACCTCCATGTCCTAGGAGCTCTGAATAGGCAAGCACAGATTCTAAATGCTGCAACTTGGAAGGAGAAACAGCTTCAAAGAAATCTGTTCCCGTTCCTGACTCAAAGCCAGGGTGAAAGCAATTACCCTGCACTCCTGAGCCTGCCAGGAAAGCCCGGCATGCAAGGGTGATGACGGAGCTGGCCAGCCTGCCTGCCTACCAGGAAAGCCTTCTGAGCGCAGCAAACTGCTTGCTCACAAGCACCTGTCAGAGAAATCACCTGGCTGAGTAAGAACAACTGGGAGAGCCACAAAGGGATGCAAGGGGCAATCACTGCAGCCACAGATTATAAAATGTCGACTGCTTGGACGTGGCAAGATTAAAAGCCCCAGGAGCATGACTTGGAAAGGCAGGACACTGGTTGTGTACCTACTGAGGTTTGTGTACCTATTGAGCCACAAAGCTTTCTTTTAGTTGAAACTATCCCATGGCATTTTCTTACTAATGAGATTCTGGATCACTTCTTGGCCTTTTGGCTAAGATAGGTAGGACTTGGAAGGCAGGACTTGGAAAGCAGGACACTGGTTGTGTACCTATTCCCTTAGAAGAGAATAAATTCAGAACAGCAAAGGCAGGGATCAGGCAGTTCTACAGACCATCTACTTCAAACGCTAAGCACATAAACTGGTATCTTCGAGAGGCTGTGGCATTACCAGGTCAAGTGCATCCTTACAGAGCAATTGGAGTACACGTCAATTCTGCCAAGAAATTTCTGCTATAAGCACAAATAAAGAGTTTTACTCACTCTCTATTTTTTAGATACTATGTGCAATGACGGAGAAGCCCATCAGTGTTCTACGAGTGCTTCACAGCCTCAAAGAGTAAGCCTTAAAATTTAGGAAAACTTTTTTAAACACTGACAATCCATTTAAAAACAAAACAGAATCACATGGACCCACAAAGGTAACAGAATATAAATCTCAAACCTCAAACTCTATAATGTTTAATCATGATTTAGGTTATGCCATCAAAATCTGTAAAGCAATAAAAGCAACAGGATGGAAAACAGGACATGCTGAAAAGAGAAATCATAGTCAAAAAGAAAAAACAAACAAAAAGCTCAATGACATCTGAGGAAGCCCAGTGTCATCAAAACCTCCTTGATATTGAGGAGCACGACGATACGTGATGCTTGCATTTTCTGGAAGACTAATTTTCACTTACATATATACAGAGGTAAAAGTATAAGAAGACACTAATAATATAAATTTATTCTACCTTGGTGCGAGTCTAAAAGAGCGTCAAAGATGACTTAGTGCCCTGACTTGTGGGTAGTTTCTGTTCAGAGAGAAAACCATGAGTGAACAAGGTAGACAGCTTGCACGGACTGTTCTCTTACCAAAGCGTCTGCCACAGCTGCTTCCAGGTCTGTGCTGGTGCTCAGAACCCGCATGGCATTCACAGAACCAGGTATTCTTCCTGGCTGGCTCAGCCCAAACCGGTCTACTTAGAAAACAAAAGCAAAAGATATGTCACGTGGAGTCACAGTTCCTCAATGCTCTACAAAGGCTTCTGCATCTTCCACTAAAACAGACAGAGGTGCTGAGAGGCCCTGAGCCTACTTAACTGTGCTCATCTTCTTTCCTACCAGGGAAGAGTTGAAGTCGCTCACGTTTAACATGACTGAGCCAGGCCACAAAGCTCTCTTTTAGTTGAAACTATCCCATGGCATTTTCTTACTAATGAGATTCTGGATCACTTCTGGGCCTTTTGGCTAAGATCAAGTGAGATTTTGGACAGAAGAGACAGAAACTTCTTAAGAGATGGGAACTGGACTACAGGATGGACCTTTTAATCTATTTAGCTTTCTTTCTTCAGGAAAGGGGCCTTGATGTTTATTCAAACTAATAGGAAAGCTTCATGGTTTGACAAATGAATTCTAACTAAATCTGAAGTTAAAACTTGAAACAAATATATTAAAGTGATTTCTATATATTTTGATTACTGTCACTACTGTTTTATATCTAGCAATTAAGCTCAGTTAGTTTGGGGTACTTGTTCATCCTGATGTCTGTGTCACCAAAGCTTACTTTAAAATTGAGTTAGTAAAATCCCTTAATAATCCTCACAACACCTAGTACCTTTGCTGCATAATATTACCATTTAGATGCTGGTGGGTACAAATTTTATCACAGTCCCTTCAAAAGATTTTTAAATGATAGTGTTCATATAGATAAGTAAAATGGAAAGGATCCAAAGAACTTAAGGCAAAATTTAGCAGTTCAAACGACTATTCTAGAGGTTGTTATTAGTAGATGAAAACTCCCTTTTTAATTAAAGTCCCATTAAGTGGGATAACCAGTTTTCCTGAAGGAAGGCTGGCAACTCAAGTCCCAAAGGGAGACAGTCTGCATAAGCTCCACTTCAGAGGTGTGTTACGCTACCCCGATAGGAAGTTTCTGGATTAAAATTCTAATGTATAAAAACCTTTCAAAGAATGTTATGATAAAAATGTTTTCCCTGTGCAAACAAATAAGATACTGTTTGGACAAGGAAAATTTCTATATCAGCCATATTATAGTTTACTCAGAACACAGGGGAAGCTAGTATCTATCTTACCTGAAATAATCTTTCCTATAAATCATAAACTAGCAATTTTATATAGATAAGAAGATATCACCTATAAAGCTGGTAAATTTTACAAATAAAGCATTATTTAGCTTTCTAGAGAAATATCTATTTCAAAACATTATATCTTCTACCACCACAGAAAACAATTTTGAATACTGTGAGTCAAGAGTTATACAGTCATGGATTTTTATAAGGAAACAAAAATTGTATGTTATACTATCCCCTTTTTTAATGCATATCTTAATCATTTCAAGTGTTATCTTAAGTCATTATATCTGAAAGGTGATTTAATGTGCTACATGCAGTAAAAAAGGCCACAAAAGCAATCACACTTCAATGTTTATCTACAAACACTCATAAGTTAAAATAAGAAACAAGTGTAAACTTGAGATCTATTGTGCATAGTTTTATAAATGATCTTTGTTCAAGTCTTTTTTCCATTAAAAAAGGGTAGATAGTGGGGAATTTATGAGTAACAGAATGAAAGTAATTCAGTTAAAAGCCATTTAAAAATTACCCAGCATAAACTCAAATAAAATGGAGTATTTAAAAAAAATCAGATATCATGCCAGCAATTCTTGCTCCAGGGATTATACTGATAATACTGGATTTTCAGACACAAAATTAAAATTTATAAAAACAATGCAATTTTTTTTCTGTGCTTTTCAGAAGCATAGAGCTTTGCCATACACAGCAACTGCAGACCCTTTGATATATAACACAGACTTTGAATTGTAGATCTTCGGGGAAATTTTTGTCTGGATCTCAGCAAAATGACGAGTTCTGGTTTTCACCAGACCAAAATCTGTTCTGTTCTACACTATCACTGTTCTGATATACTACGAATTGCAATTCTGAGAGACAGTTATATATGACTAGAACCTTATTCTAACCCCTATCTTCAGGGGAATGTGTTTAATCATAGTAGACGTAGCTAAAAGGCATAGTTGGCTTCATTTGGAAGGAAAAGGAGAAAATAACTGACTCAACCAGTTGGTATACACTGTCACCATCAACAGACTATGAATTAATTATGCCTTACTCAACTGAGAAACTAGCCACAGGGGGTTGTTAGCATAGGAAAATGATGTGAGGTAGATGTGGCACTCTGATGTGTTACTGTATGTTTAATTTTTGTCCCTATGGCCAGTGGATCTTTGGTATGTTAAAGAGAACTGAGGCAGAAGGTTTGAGGTCCACAGGCAGCACAGGCTAACCTTTCGCCTGACTTGATTACCTGAATTTTGATCTTATTTTTCTACATGTATTTTTATTTACATAAAATTACACATGCTATGATTTGAAGCACTGGTAACTACATAGTACCTTAAAATAATTGAAACCTGACACTAAGCACTCACATTAACATTTGACACTACCTGGGATGAAGACTTTGGAGATAAAGGACTCGTGGGATGACATCCCTACCCATTTCCCCACAGGTGACCCCTGCGTGACACCCCGTTTTGGTGGATGTTTCCCTAGAAAGAGGCTGATAGGAGGATCTTCCCTGTTTTTTGTTTTGACATAAATATGAACATTGCAGAAATGATGTTGTCAAACAGGCGATACACCATCTACGGCCTATTAACAGAACTATAAACATTCACCAACTTAAAAAAAGAAAAGCACATTGGGGAAAACAAGTATGAGGTGCACACATGCCAAGCGCTAGCTGACACAGACAAAAACGAATGTTAACATAGTGTGGAGCCAGAACAGATGAAGAAGCGGAGTCATGCAGTTAGCACTTGTTCACCTGACTGCCCAACAGATTCAGCAGTGGAGAGAGCACTAGTGGACCTGGAATGACGTCGAGAGGCTGCAGGTAAAAGGAACGGCAACACCCACAGGGTTAACACACAAGTACCAAAGGAAGTGCAGGGACTGCTACCAACAAGGCCGCACTTTCTCATGAAAAGAAATGGTGCTGGATATGAATAAACAGCAAGGGCCAACCCCAGCCTGTGCGGCGGCGGCTGGCTCTCACACAGCTCTTAGACACACAGGCATGACAGGGGCACTCTTTAAGGTGCTCCCTACACTCTTTAAGGATGCACCGGCCGACTGGACTCCAGGTTTAGATTCACGCCATGAAGCCTTGATCAGCCATTATGGAAGTATGCCACATGAAAAACACCAGGAGTCACAGAGCACTGTCTAAACCTCAGAGTGGAGAGCAGGAAGATGGATTATTAACTCAGCTCACGAGATGGGTCATCCGTATGTGATGCATATGCCACCATGCACCAAAAACAAAAGCAGAGAGGTTCATAATGTTATTTAAACAGAAACTGAATGAAATCACAGGAAGTAGCTCAACAGCTGGAATTTCATTTTTCCTGGTCAAAATGTTTGTTGTTCTGTTGCACAAACACCCTATCAATGTACCCGTTTAACGGTTGGAAATTCAATGGTAGTAAACACGAGAACCTTCCCTGGAGAGCCCATTGCAGTACTCTGCTTAGGAGTACTAGCTCTGAAATACAACTGTACAGCCTAGTTTGCTCAAGCTGGCTGTAGGACCTCTCAGTGCTAAACCTGTTTTTCAACCTGTAGAATGGTGCCAATAAAGATACCTACCTCTTGGTTGGTACCGAGAGGATTAAAAGAGACCATGTAGAAAGCACTTAATATCATGCCAGCAGAGTCCACAGAGGTGGTCACAGTATTAACAGTTAACAAGTAAACTCCAACTTAGGACATTAAAATATTATTTTATCAGCAGGTATTCACAATTAATATGTTAATTCATCAGCCTGAGGAAACAAATACTAAATTCTGTCTTCATGAGGAAAGAGAGTAACTTTTAGAACTGATTATGAAATACAGCTTATTGTAAAACACTGATAAATTATTGGTCACAGTTTAATGCAATATATACCCTTTCACTGTCTCAGGAAAAAACCAAAGGGTAACGTTCTTCCATCCATTATTCTGGAAAAAATCATGGTGATTAAGCCACAGGAAGTTCTTAAGTTTAACAAAGGCATATTGAGCAGTCCTACCTTTTATTCATGCTACTGTAGTATTCTGTACACATTATCACTTGTACATTTAGTCACAAAATTTCAAAACCTCAAACATGCACATCTGTGGTATATGTGGTACTAAACAAACAGCAGAGGTTATCTGATCAATAAAGACACATTACCTGCTTGCAAAGAGAAAACACCTCTTTCCTTAAGATTCACAAAAATACAAAATAATTAGCCATTTCCAAAACATGAGCTTATCACTGTTCTAAAAAAGGGAGTTGGTAAAGTATTTTGTCAATACAGGAGCAAACCACACATTTATTGTATGAGCACACCAATACTGTAAGGTAGTTCAAACTGAAAAGTTTTTAATCAATATCTGATCCATAGGTTCATTATAAAGTTGTCTTTTGGTTTTCTTTTGATACAATATTCTATAGTACATCTGTCACAAAATTAGTATTCTGTGAATTCCCCAATAATGGAACCAAGGTGGACCCGCTTATGTCAAAGCCTGATTGACAGCAGAGTGCTGAAGCCCTTACTTTGACTTTAGAATCATCACTGTAACCACATATTCATATGTTCATACCATTAAGATGCTCTAAAACAATTATGCAAACTTAAAAATAAGATATACATTTGGTCTTCTCACTGTAGGTTTCATCTCTGAGGATCAGTCAACTGTACACTGGAGACAAAATTATGTCTGTACTGAACATGTACAGATTTTTGTCATTCTTTAAAGAATACAAAACAGCAACTATTTATTGAGAATTTACAATGTATTAGGGTTTATAAATAACCTAGAAATATTAAGGTAGATATGAGGATGTATGTAGGTTACATGTAAATATGATGCCATCTTATATAAGTGATTAGAACATCTATAGTTTGGTATCCACAGAAGAACGAGGAACTCATTCTTTGTGCAATGGGCATCCATTGAATCATAATTATGTTAATTAATGTTTCTTTTAAAATAACAGCAGTAACAAAGGTGGGCTACATAAGCTGATTCAAAGGGCACTAGGCAGAATTTTACTAATTTCCAAAAGAAATGAAAAGTTATTATTCAGATAAATGAGAAAAAAGGAGCCTTCAGAGAAGGTGTAGGAGGTGCCCAGAGGACAACACATCTGAGATGTGTCTCTGCATCCCCTGGTCTGAAACCTAGGTCTGGAAATCATCAGAAACACGTCTTGGGCACTTGCTGAGTACCTATGCCTGCCTGGCCTCACAAAAAGCATTCAGCACATTACTGAGGGACAGATGACACACAATTATCAAAGGCACTTTCAGATGAGGCAGATCTGAAGTCAAACCTGCATGCAAACCCAGGCTCCATCCCTCAGCTATGTGACCTTGAGAAGGCGGCTTAATCCCTAAGACTCGGGTGCTGGTGCCTGCCAGAGCTACTGCAGAAGCCGAGGGAGTGCTACCTGCTCACTGCTCCGGACAGTACAGGTGTGCATAGGAGCTCTTGCTGCTTCTGCTGAACACAAATTTTAGAGACAGGTTTAACCTGTGGGGGGAAATGGTCTACAAATGTGTATCAAAAGACATTCACTATTCCTTGACCACAACAGAAGACATTAGCAGAGGCTAGTGATTGTTAGGGTCCACATTTTCTGCCTGGGTCACAGCAATTGTGCACCTCAACATCTTGGGTTGTCACCAACACAGTTAAGCAGATCTACTTACTCAGAGGTTAAAAACAAAACAACAAAATCAAGAAACAAGAAAACCAGATGTGATAACTCAATTACACAGGTTCATTAGGACTTCAAGAATTCAGCGTACTTTGCCTGGTCCACAGACCACATGCCAGATTACAAAGGCTGCTTCCACAGACAATTTTTAAAATACCAGCACATGTACGAAATAAAAGAGTGAATTGCTTCAAAGAGACAAAATAATCAATAAACAGATTGGACTTGTTTACTCATATAATAGATTCTTTGAAGGTCAAATAGTAAGCAAGGATGCATAGATATACAGCCTTAATTTAAAAGGAAAAATCACCAGTTCATTCAGGGGAAAAAAAAAAATCATGGCTGCCCCTGATTTATTGAGAATTCTGCTCCAAAGCATCCAGGGGCTGTGGAATAGCTGGCATGCACAGGTAAGCTGCCCCATCAGGGGCTCTAAGCCCAGCAGAGCATCTTGCAACGTAAGGCAAGGAATCCCTAGGTCAGGCACAGGCACTGGCAGGTGTGACTTACTCTTTTTCAGTACCTCGTAAAGGATAATGAGTTGGCAAGACAATCATCTAGACTCTGCTTACTGACAGTGATGATACTGAGGAAGAAAACTGAGGCAGTGTGCGGGTCACAGAGGAGGCAAGTAGGAAGACCTCATGCATTTGATGGGACACCATCCTCCTGTCGTAGCATTTATATAGATACAAGATCAGTTGAATAACTATATGGTAAAAAACAGATTGATGTAGTCCTTGCTCCATGGGATAATTTCAGTTCGAGGCCTATTTTTTTTTCTGTTTTGTTTTGCTTTTGAGACATGGTCTCATGATACAGCCCAGGCTGGCCTCAAACTCACAACTATCTGTTGGGCTCAGCCTCTGAATGCCGGGGTTACAGGCCTGTACCACCACATCTGGCTAAATCATAAAAATGATTTCCGCTTTTCATATTTATCAAGAGAAACACATACATCTATATAGCACATAATATGCCAAAGAACTAAAAAATAATCACTGAAGAATATAAAACCTTCCTTTTCATAAAAGTACATTTACAGATGCCTCTGAGGATTAAGGTACTAGTACTGTATTAGATAAAAAGGTATACTGTCCATTTTCAAGAGCAGGACTATTAAAAGTTAACAAGAAAAACTATTTATTTTGCAATACTGGGATTTGAACCCAGGGCTCTTATACTGAATAACATCCCCAGTCCTTTTGTTAAAACTCTGAGACAAGCTCTTGCTCGAATTGCCCAGGCTGGGCTTGGGCTTAAGCACCTCCTGGCCTCGGCCTGCCAGAGTGCTGGGACGTACAGGTGTGTGCCGGCACACCTGGCTTCGTTTAGGGTTCTGAATGTTATCACTACTGTACTTTTGTTTCCTTTGAATTAAACCACATATAAACTGATCCTAGTAAAACTGAAGATAAATTGTATGACTAGGAATAAACTCTGGATCAACCTTACTTTTAAGCAGCAATCAACTTTGGCTGAATTTTGCAGTAAGTTGGAAATGACCACAAGGATGGGCTTCTCTGGTAGCAACTGGCTACAAATGGTGAGAGCGGAGTGAAGTGGTGCTTTTTTCCTCTGGGAGTTGCTGAAGTTCAAGCATGCAGAGGGGGACAACGAAGGGTGATTAAGGAAGGGGAAAGAGAAGAAAGGATCACAGGACAGCGGAGGAGGAAAAGCAGTCATTCCACCCAGCAGTGTCTCGGACAAGCATGGGGGCAGGGACAGGAACTCTTTGCTCCTGGGCAGCACCTCCATGTACTCACCAAGTGGAGGGAAGCCCCGAGCAGGGCTTGTATCTCGGCTGCTCTCACGGCTGGTATCGCGGCTGCACCCCTGACTCATGCTGGGTCGAGGGATACGGCTGCTCCGTGCTAGTGTGCAGCATGAGGGGTTTCAGAGAAGGTGAACAAGTTTAATTTAATGAAGACAGAAAAACTCACAAAATGGCAGTCACATTTGGTTAAAGAAATCATGACATTGTGCTGGGGCTTTCTGTTAACTGGACAACTTATCTATGCTAGGTCTCACGGATTGAGGTGCTAACAGAAGGGGGTGGAGATAAACTTGACTTTGTTCAGTGCCCGAAAAAGTTGTGGATTTTAGTATAAAAGGGAGATTATACTCAAGTGTAAGAAATGAAATCATTTCAAAGCACAAACTTTGGAAATGATCAAAAGCTTAGAAAGACCAGTTTTTATATGGCTCTAGCAAACTCTACAAAAACAGGACAAAAAAAAAAAATCAAAGCTGTTTTCATAGGCACTTAATTCTTGCATTCCCCAAGGCTTGCTTTCTTCTTCTTCTTGTTTTTTTTCGTGGGGGGGGGGGAGAACTGGGGATTGAACTCAGGCCCTTGCGCTTGCCCGGCAAGCACTTATTCTACTGAGCCATCTCCCCGGCCCTTCCTTGGCACTTAATTCTTAAAAATATAATTTAATTTGGATTAAGTCAGAGCTGTAACATAGGCTCTGGTCCCTGAAGTCCATAAGCTTACACAGTTAAAGGCAAGAGAGCTCCCTTCTCCCAGGCGGGCTTCTTTAAGAGAAGCCAAATGTCAGCACACTTGGAGGGAGGCCTGCCCACTCCCAGTGAAATGCAGATGTAAGCCAGGACTGCAGCCTTTTCATCTTCTGTCCCAGCAGTCAAGCTGTTTTTCTCCTATGGAAATATACATAGATCCTTCCTGTGGTACCTTCTAAGCACCTCCATGGATTCATTCTTACCCCGCCCCCAAGTCTATACCAAGTATATTTATTTTGATAAGCATTTGGGCAAGAGATACCTCCCTGGCCTGAGGACAGTTCATTATTTTATAATTATCTATGGGTAAGGTTTATCCTCCTCATGGTATAAAACACTGAGTTTATAAAGAAAATTGTATGAAGAGCCTATGGTCTAATAACTTGGCTGTGAAGCTCAAGAAGACCACAATACCCTTATTTCTTGAACCTCAGAAAACCTAAGTATGTTAACTGGCCTAATACTCAGAAACAACACTGCATACTGAATGTGTGCAGTTGAAATCCCAAAAGTAACAGCTAAAGACAACAGTATCCATTTCTATCCTGAGAGATTTACCACTTCTTAGTCTGGACAGAAGTTTCTTTCTCAGAGATTCTGGAAATAAACTTGATTTACTGATGTCAACGCAAGCAAGTTTTCTATATTGTAATGAGAACAGTCTGTTACTTCAGAGCAAAGATTTACTGAGCAGCCTGACAAGAATGTCTTACAAACCAGAACCATCAAACTCTCCAGGGAAGAATGTGCAAGTAGCAAATGAAGCAAACATCCTTCGGTGCTCAGTGCTCAGTGCTCAGTGCTCAGTGCTGAGCTTGAAGATGACCCGTGAAGGCTTGCTAGCGATCCCCACGCTCAGGCAAGGAAAGGTCTGGCACAGAAACGCAGTCTGAAAATAGGCCGAGCAGGGCTTACGCTTCCCTAAAAGTTCCTACTCTTCCTTACTTTTACAGAGTGACATGAAATGCACGAATTTTTGCTCAAACAGGTAGTGCTATTTAATCAGCAATTCTTGGTAACATTCTAAACAGTTCCTAGAGAGAAATCAAAAATAGTAGGTGCCAAATTAAATCCATCAAAACACTGGAGTGTCTATCAAGTCCACCAGTGTGGAGAAACTCCCTAGAATACACAAAGCAATACTATTTATCTTCTCAGGACATCTTGAAATGACCATTCCAATTCCAAGCCACCTCACTGGTCCAGCCACTGGCCTCTATAGGTACAGCCTCCCCTTAGAAAAAGGAGAAGTAAGCACCTCATCATTTAAATGAGGATACTGCAACACAACGGACATATGTAAGTAGTTCTAACATCTTTGATAAATGCATACATGAAAATCTTGTCTTACTCTAATATGTACTCCAAAACAGAGTAGACAACTGCTCCATCAAAAATGAAATGGGCCGGCCAAATAGCTCAGTGGATTAAAGCTCCTGTTTAGGCAGACGCAGGGGCCAGAGTTCAATCCCAAATCCGTGGGATGCTGTGCTGGCCCCGCCCCAGGGGCGCGCTGAGATGGTGATTGAGACTGGGCGTGGTGGTGTGTGTGCCTGTAATCTCAGTTCTTTGGGAGGCTGAACACAGGCGGATGACTATGAGTCCAATCTACATAGTGAGACCCTGTAGACCCTACTAAAAAAAAAAAAAAGACTGGGCATGATGGCACATGCCTGTAATCCCAACACTTGGGAGGCTGAAAATAGGATTACTACATGTGCAATCTGTGTAGTGAGACCCTGTACTAAATACATTTTTTTATAAAATGAAATAAAAGCAGCCCTGCTGATAGCTTTTCATCTAAGTATATGCTAAGTTGAACATTTTCTTTTTTCTTTTTTTTGTGGAACCGGGGATTGAACTCAGGCCCTTATGCTTGCCAGGGAAGCGCTTATTCCACTGAGCCATTTCCCCAGCCCCTTGAACATTTTCTTAACAGTTTATATCTGATTGCTTCTGAATTTTTACCCAAACCCTAAGTCAACTTCATATATTACAACAACAAAGGGAAATGAATGTTCTCGGGGTGAGCTTGCTTTGATAAGCAGACAGCGTTAGGAGTGCCACACCCATAAAAACTGGATAACAGCATCTCTAACTTCTTAACAAAGTTTACACTCCTAGTACTTTATCCAGGTATTTCATCCCCCTTATCTGTACTGACTGGCTTGCTAACATCTGGCCAGTAATAACACACAGAGGAACTCTGTTTGCACTTTTATGAAAAATCTGCTCACAGATGCCCCACACCTTATTAAATAGGTGACACAGGTAGTTCAAATGCTGGATAATTTAAATCACAAGATCACTTATAACACTACTTCCAAAGACTGAGAATCTAGAAAAGAGTTATTTAAAATAACTACGCATTAATTATTTTTACAGCTAAGACATAAAGTAAAAAACAATAAAAATAACAGAGAACAAGTCCACTTGCTTCTTTATTACATCCCCAAACTGAACATGGACAAATACAAGAGGAAGGGATACAAAGAAAATACACTTGCCCCTTGAACTTTCTAAAAGCAGTATTCCTAGGTGGCTGAGCCAGGCGCGGACAGAAATGCTAAGAAGCCTGGAATGACCACATGACCAGTTTTCCTTTCTGACAGACTTTTTCCTACCTTCAGTGCTTCAAGCGTCATCCTGACTTTAGCCTTTAAAAGGAAGGATACAACCAGAATTCATACCAAAAGCAAAAATACAAGATTAATGAAAACCAGAGGTTAAAGACAGGACAAGCGCCTCCAGGTGAGGTATGTATTTTCAGGTCACAATAAGTCTAACTTCACAGTTAAAATGAATTACCTAATTTTAATTCTCCAAGAATATTTTTAATCAGAAAATCTTAAAACATTTACATGTATATCCATAAAATATCATCTGTAAAAATGTCAAGTATATTTTTAATGGGCTTTCTTAATGAAGCAGAGAACCAAAGGCAAACAGGTAAAATATAATTACTAAAGATGCTGGCTATGTGGCTTTACTATCTGTAAATTCCTTTTTTGTCTTTAAAATACAAAACAGTGATGATTTACAAATATATTTTCCCAAATAGTTGGTAATTGAACAGGAAATATAGCCTTTTTAAGAAATTTTAAATGCCAAAGAAAATCACTGATAGTTCTTAAAACAAATGAGAAAAGAAAATTTAGTTGAGAAATATTTTAAACAAAAGACATAACTGAATTAAAATATAACTTCTAGATAAGTAGAATTAACTCTCAGTGCAAGTTCTAAGCCTCAATTACCTATTGATAAACAATGCTGAATTGACTGGTTTGGGAATTTTATTTTATTTTTTGCCGGAACTGGAGATTGAACTCAGGCCCTTGCACTTGCTAGGGAAGCGCTTATTCCACTGAGCCATCTCCCTGGCCCTTGGTTTGGAAATTTTAGAAAATATTCTTAAAAAGATGCTGCCTCTTTTCTAGATATTTGTATTTAAAGTTGCTATATCAAGCAAATATTTATAATCACAGTAATAATCTATTATTGGAAAAAGTTAATATACCCTGCTACCCTGTAAAATGGAATTTCTGGTGCTATACACATGGAAAGGTACACTTTATTCATATATATTTCTTTGGATATTCTCAAGAATGTACCAAAATTGTAATAAGTATCTTTAGTCAGAACTGTACAGAGTATCTCAAAGCTTCACACATCACTAATCTCCTAAACAAGTATCAAGAATTTAATTTTCTTTAAAATAATACCTTGAACAAGAAATCTTTGGAAGAAAGTAAGCCTTTTTAATTTCGAGTCATGTTTCAAAATACACCTTACAAGCTTATCAAATGCCACCTTTTCAGCTGCACACAGCACACGCTCCTGTCAGACCACGGGACACCGAGTCTCACAGTTACACTGGATCACCAAAGTTGGGTTATTTCTTAATTTCAAGAGAGTGAAAACAGCATCTTTAAAAAAATTTTTTTAAATCATAAGTAGAAAAGAATTCTTAAAAGTAAAATAATAATGTATGGGTAAGAATAGCTAAAATCTCAGAGATTTAAAATCTGATATTCTTCCAAACAAAATCAGACCCCAACAGAGATATGCTGCAAAATCAGAGGAGCAGCTGAGCTATAAGCGTTGGCCTTTTCATTGCTTGAAGCCACATCAACCCTCAAACGAGCTGTGAGCTCGGAAACCACCCCCAGAGCACCAAGAGGAAGACGGTAACACCCCACCACACAGTTCATCATGGAGAGGTAACACCCCACCACATAGCTCATCATGGAGAGGTAACACCCCACCACATAGCTCATCATGCTTTGGACACGTGATTTCAAACCAACTCCTATCCATTCTTAAGTAGCTGCCCCGACCCCTCCTGGCTCAGGTACCTCCAAAACTTTTCTTGAGCTGAAGCACTCCCACCTCTGTGATCCTGGCTCCCTATCTACTCCTCACCCCTCAGTCTGGGGTAGCAAAATGGAGTCCCTGTGGCTCTTTCTCGCCCAACTATTCCTGCACTAGTTTCTTGCTTCCGTAGAACGTCTTTCTCTTACGTCCCTATCTTGGCTAATGCCACCTTGTACTAAAAAACAGGACCTATTCTCAGAGGCCTCCTTTAGTAGAAAGTCTGGGAGGATCGGAGTGGACAGGGGCTAAGACACACCTGTTTAAGGCCCCAGAGCCTATCACAGTACTTATTACACTCTTACATTTTCACTTCTACCCAACAGATGACAAGGACTCTTAAGTCAAAAGCAAGGTTTGTTTCATTTACCGTCTAATTCTCAAGTCTAACAAAGTGCCCAGCACATCACAGAAAACATTTAAGTAAAAATTGTTAAGAGCAATGAATAAGGGCCAGGGAGATAGCCTGGCAATCTAAGCCTCTGCCTGGCAAGCACAAGGACCCGGGTTCGATCCCTGGTACCACATGCCGGCCCTGCACCAAGCTGGCCTTCGAAATTGGGCATGGTGGCACATGCCTGAAATCCCAGTGGTGCTGGGGAGGCTGAGACAGAAGGATCACAGCGAGGCTTAGCTGAGTAGCAAGACCCTGTACTAAATAAATAAATAAGTATTTTTTACAAGAGCAATGAATAAATGTGAAAGGTAAGCCAACAGAATTTAAGGATCAACTACTCAAATTTTATATTAATAGAGTTACACTTTAGAAAGCAGATAGAGATGACATAAAGAGAAAATGTTTACATTTTTATATAAAAAATTAGATGTTAGATTTTAATAAATTGTCTTTAAGCTAAGTGTAATTCATATGACTACACACTATTACAAAGAAGTCAAATGCTACAACACAAAATGTCATGGATTTTATCATTCTTAGAGTTCATGTTTCAACAAAATCATGTTAAAGTAACTATATCATAGGCTTTACCAGCCAAGTGACAATCAAAATTAAAATCAATGGGGACCCTAGAAACTGCTTTTGAAACTTAATATAACTGAATGGCTAGTTAGTTGAAAGAATGAAAGAAAAATGAAAACATTGCTTCAAATTTCAAGAGAAAACTTTTGGCTATTTCGCCATCAAAAATTTTACAAAATGACTACAAATCACAAAAGCTTAAAATGATGTAACTCCTTCTCATTAATTTGGACCAAAAATCCCACATTATTTTTTGATACTAAGTGATACCAATGTGCCATAACCCATATACAGAATGAGTCAAAATATCTTTTTAACAGAAAGTCACACTCTCATTTCAAAAAGATTTCTGTTTCCTGCAATAGACACAGTCATTAGATTAGAACCAAGACTGTGATCAAGCTGAGAATGGTGGCCCAAGGTCTGAAAACCCTTACCTGGTCCAATTCGGTTTGGACTTGTTTCTCGGCTGCATCCCTGACTCCTGGGAATCTTGCTTCGTTTCTCTGAAGATGGTGTCACAGGTGGGCCTCTCGAGGAACCCCCAGCAAGACCTCCATAACCACTTCCCAACAGTTTTCCTGGGGAACTTGACCGGCTGCCAGCTAAAATGAAAGCAAAACAAAAAAGAATAAGATATAAACTCAGCAATAAATTAAAAACTCCAGAAGTTTTTAATATACCAATTTGGGTCATACATTAAGAGAATTTTGTGTATATGTAGCATTTTAGTTCATGGTAGTACTAATTCTTTAAAAATGTTGGCATATGAAAGAATGTCATGTATCATTAAAGGACACCAAGGCTTGGGAGCGCCATGGGTACAGTGCCACGGAAGTGACTGCAGAACTTCTAATGCAAAAGAGCAGACTGGCTACCAGCAGCATCTCCCTGCTCCCAGCAAGGCTCTAAATAGCCACAAAGGTGTTTGCTTCTTGTTTTGTTCAGTGATGCTGGGGACAAAGTCAGGGCCCTGGGCCTGCCAGGCAAACGCTCTTCCGTTGAGCTATATCTCTAGCTCCAACTGTTTTATGATTCTGTAAGATGCTGTGAAAATGTAAGTGTAACTTCTGAAGAACCATAATGTTTATTTCTTAAGTATTGGACAAAATGAATCCATGTGTTAATTAAGAATTCAATTAATCTAACAAATAGAAGAAAAAAGAGGGGATAAAACACATAAATATGGTAAAAAAAATTACAAAATGAAATGATAGGAATAGGTTCAAACATACCAGCAATCCTAGAAAATGTGGCTAGTTATACAATGGAACCTCAGTTCATGATCTTAATGGATTGTTTTTGTGTGTGTGTGTGGTACTGGGGATTAGGACCTTGCGTTTGCCAGGCAGGTGCTTATGATGCTGAGCTATCTCCTCAGTCTTCACGAACTTAATTCTTTCCACAATTCTGGTTGCAAACTGAACTGGCTGCAAACTGGATCAAATTTCCACAAAGTCAACATTGAACCTACCCACTGAATTTGAGTTGGTTTGCAACCAGACTCATGTAAAGCACAACTATATACTCAAATGACCCAGAAAAAAAGCATTTTAAACAGCAATTACCTGGTAACCGTTCATATATGTGTATGCATATATTCATACACATATACATACAGGGGCTGGTGAGATGGCTCAGTGGTCTAAAGCACCTACTTAGAACAAGCTTAGCAAAGCCCAGGAACCACAGTTCAATCCCCCAGCACCACATGCCAGCCAGCCCGCCCCCTGGTGGGCTGAGCTGGCCACACACACACACACACACACACACACACACACACAAATAAATAAATAAACATATACATACATATACATACACATGGGTACATAGATTTTTTAAAATACCTATCATTTAAAAATACAGATTTCAAAAGCTTGCCATCAAATGAGTTACTTGAGACACTATTCACAAAAAATTAACACCTCAGAATGAGTAACTATAAAGTGAAAAAAATCACTGCAAAAATCAGCAATATGTATGAAATATCTCATGGCCTATTAATTTTGTCTATAAATCTGAGGATATACACAATTACTAAACTATGCAAAAGGGAGAAAAGAAATACACTTCAGACTAGTATTTGAACATACAGAAAAAAAAATGCAGAAAGATTAATGAAGCTCATACTAAAGAAATTAACACTGTACAAAGAATGCAAGAAGAGATATGGCTTACCACCAGCAGGATTAGCAGATCTGGATCCTTGATTATGAGAGCAGAGCAAAGGACAGGCAAAAAGTGAATCAAAAGACAACACAATACAGAGGGTCAGCATGCAACACAACATGAGTATCTTGTTTACAAACACATTAGCAAAATATTAGCAAAAGAGCTACTGTTCTTAGGACTTGTTTCTCCTACTCTCTTCATACATTCATTTTGTACTTACTACACTGTTCGCATTTATTGTAGATCTTTTCACCAATAAATCTACACTATGCCAGGGACAACGCTTGTAAGAGACATGGAGAGAACAGGACAAGTATCTCGCCCTGCCAGACCACATCTCCCCACCTCCCCCAGCTTTGAGCACCCTGAGAGGCGCATGGCACTGGGCTCATGCGGGTGCCACTACATCTTCAGCGGTGCTTGCTACATAGAGAACAGTTAGGGCTACCAACTGGTTTCGCCTGAATGTCCCATGTCTCTCTTTAACCCTCCAATATTTAAAATAGGCCTATTTTTAAGACATTAATAAAATCCACTTAATATTAAACCAACACTATGAATATTACCGCATCTACATTTATAATGAATATATTTAAAACTCTTATTAAATTTTTAAAATATTTCATTTATATGCATAAACTTAAGGTACAGCGAGACCGTGGGCTGCTATTTGGTGGTCCACTGTCCTGTGGGTGTGATTAGGCAAGTAAAGAAAAACTGAATGGCTTTTAAAGTGGGCGCCAAGCCAAAGTTCAGAGTAAGTCTGAAGACATAAAGCTGTACCATCCCCTTCATCCCACTAGAGAAAGGATTTTAACCTTAACCACCTTAAATTTATTTACATTAACCTATGTTTCAACCCTGAACACTTTGGGTGGAGAATTCCTTCCCTTAAGACTTGACCCGGGCCGGGGAGATGGCTCAGTGGAATAAGCGCTTCCCTGGCAAGCACAAGAGTCTGAGTTCAATCCCCAGTTCCGCCAAAACAAAAAATAAAAAAGATAAAGTCAACAAGACTTGACCCATGTTTATGAGGTCATGACTGGAACATTATGTTCTGCTGTGCTCCAGGGACCAGAGCTCAGCAGAAGGCCAGAAGCAAGGCGTAGGTCCCAGAGCAGCAGCCTCTGGGCTGCACCTGCGCAGGGATCTGCATGAAAACCCAGGTAAAGGCGTACTGGTAAGGCACTGTTGTTCTAATGAACTCAGTCTAGTCTCACTGTATTCACAGCAATCTACCCCAACCCTCTTTCCTGAGCCTACGGAAGTAGAAAGGGATAAAGGAATCTTTCAACCACAAACAGGAGGCCAGCGCTCCACTGTGCAGTTACTATGGTTCTACAACTGGCTTTGTCTACTGACTGCCCACTCAGCCCCATCTGTCACCACATCCTCACACATTCCCCATGTAGTAGGCCTTGTTAGCAACTGACACGGGTTAGCAGGTTAGCTCAACATCACATCAGAGCCAGGATGCAAAGGTGCCCAGTATGCCTGGCACTGAGGCCCACACTTGCAGTGCAGACAATCTACGTCCAGAGGTTCCATACCCTCAACAGGAGCAACTAATAGGATTCATCTTTCACTATCTTTGCAAAAAAGAGTGAAGCTTGTTTAACATGAGGACTACAATCACTAAAAGAGACATGGGAAAGGATCTAAATTCAGAAGGAGCTGCAAAAGGCTGCCCCAGCACTACAGGAGAGCCTGAGGGCTGGCCACAGATAGTGCTCTATTATACCAGCCAGATGGCCATGCTGCCACAGTGGTACAGACTCTGGTCAGGTAAGGTGCTGGGCTGGGTGTGCTCCTAGGGTCGGGAGACTTCCTCCCTGTGTTCACCCAGCCCAGGAGCACTGCAGTACCCAGCTGTGTGTGCAGCAAGATGGCCAGAGGGAACCCATTTGCCATGTTGCTTTCCTTGCTGAGGCTAGCAAGCAAAGTGACTCCACATACACAGAAAAGCAATCGTGGAAGCAAACTCGAAGAAGAGCCCACAAAGACAAGAGGACAGGGGCCGGCAAGAGTGAGCACAGAGGGGCAAATGAGGAGCTTTTCATGGATTTACTTATTCACTACTAGAAAATACTACTTGGCATTTATAGTTCTGCCTTACAACTATATCAGTAGGGTGATCAATACAAATGTGGGTCACAGAACAGATAAGTTTCAACTTGAGAGACTTCAACTACAGGGAGAGAACAATGTTTAAAAACACAAAACAGTTCCCTGGAAAGAAGATGAAGGCATGCCTAACCGAATGCCCCATCTTGCAAGCTTACCAAATGGCAAGGTAGTTATTCACAGTATCTTAAGAGTCATAAAAACGTTTCCCTTCCTCAGATCAGTGCAAACACTGAACTGTCAGGTGCAGAAGGAGCTGCTGAATGAAGCTAAGATAATGGGGAGCATAAAATATACTTCTTACGCTGAGATTGAGAAACAACTTTAGCACGACTGCGGCCCCGACTGTCAGAAGGAGTAGAGGCGACATTGGTGGCACTCCCAGAGTTCTGTCGTCTTGTGCGGATCCGACCTGGAGGACACAGCAAAGACAATGTTTCCATAAACACTGTAAGTAAGTATGACCTAGCTTAGAGAAGAACCCACACCAGGAGCAAGGGGAGCTGATGGGCCAACCACATGAGGAGAGAGCTCAGGGGTCCCGCACTACAAGACCACAGGAAGGCGATGAAGAATAAAGGTCTGTTAGAAGTTGGCCATAGGGTGGGCTTCTGCAGCTTCACGGGAACATAAAATGCCTCTCTTTGCACAATCCAATCAGAATCAGGTCTGACAGGGAAAAAGGGACCATTCTGAATTCCTACTGGCTTTTTAAATTGTGCAAAATCTTTTCTACTCTGGCATCTGAAAAATGAATACAGAAAAACAAATCCTCCTAAGTCTTAAAAAGGTCTAAGAAATGGAGATAAGCAACAATAAAAGAAACCACAGCATTAAAGAAAAAATACATATATAACTCAAATTGATGGTTTAATAGAAGTACAGGGAAATGTGTGCACAAATTCTAGAATCTACATAAATTAAAAGTTCCTCTATTAGCAACTGTACATATTCAGCTCAGACCCCTCACAACATACAGACCATTCCACATCTTAAGATGAGGGAACAGAGAAGCAAGGAGACTTCTTTGTGCAATGTCCCAGGACCAGTGTAGATACCTGTGCCTCTCTGGCTGGGCTGTGAATGAGGACCTTTGATTCTCCTAAGTCACTGAGCTAAAACAACTGAATCACTCATATCAGATGAATGTACAAAAACAACTGGATTTTTCTTCAAGTTAAAAAAGATTTTTTAAATGTATATCTATACCTATTGAGCCTGAAAAGTAAGCCCTTTTTACTAATCCTGCAGAGCATTATTTTTTGAATTTGCTCTGTTCTTTTACTATAAATTGAAAGCAAACTTCTAATTCAGTCTCTTGCAAGAAAATCATCAAGCTATGATTTCCCCTATAAGCTTTGTCTTTGCTTCAATCCACAAGAACTGGTATAAGTCCAGCACACTTCACTAGACTGTAAAAATATAGTACTGAATCTCATTCGCTACTGTTTTACTTTGGAAAAACAAATTAGAACCATACTTCATAATTTATACCCTAAAATTAAAATATAAAACATAACATTCTAAAAAAAAAAAAAAAACATAAGAGTTTCCTTGCAACTCACAGTGAAGTCCTTCATAATCTGAAATTAGAAACCTTAAAAAAAAAAAAAAATTGAAGCTTTCAGCATTGGTATGGTTCAATGTAGAGTACTTGCCTAGCATGTCTGAGGCCCTGGGTTTAAACGCCACATTGCAAATGAACAGTAACAGTAAATGATGATAAATTTGACTACTTAATTTTTTTAAAACTTCATCATATATCAAGCAGAAAACTATGAGCAAACTTAAGAAAAAGGTAAATTAAAAGGAATCATTTGCAAATTCTAGCACAAAGGCCTACTTTCCTTCCTAGGTGACAGGATCCATAAGAAGCGCAGTGGCACGCTAACGTGCAGCTCAGAGACATCTACTGACTTGTGGTGTTTCCTAGTTTACACAGTGTGCATATTTCCCACCAGTCCCCACCTCAGGCTACTGATGCGATATTCACCAGCATACAAATTTTCTGAAAACTTCACAACTGGTGCTCTTGACCAGCACCAGCATACCACTGCCACAGAAGAATGGAAAAAACAAACAGGAATAGACATTAAAAGGGAAGACAAATGGCTTTGTATGAAATTACTCAGATTTGTAAGACAAAAATTAAGATGACAGAATACCATATATCACCTATCAGATTTGGAAACAGAAGAATTTAGGCTAAAAAATATTTTTTCCTATTATATCTTATTTAGCACCTTGTTTATATGGCATATTCTGGGTTTCTCATATAAATCACATGACCTTTATGCTTGTGTGTCAACATGGGGTCGAGGTACATCGATTTTTCCTACAAATGGCAGAGTAGCACCAGTATATATAAATTTGCTTTATCTATTCATCTCTTGAAAGACATATAGGCCATGTGCAAGGCTTTAGTTATTCTGAATTGTTTGAGCTTACTTTTATAATTCTATATGAATACTTTTTCTCCTGATTTTTCATTTTCCTTTGTTTTTGTCTTCTTTGGCTCAATTTTTTAAAGATAAACTTTTCTATCTTTGATCTTTTTTTTTTTTTTTTCAGAACCAGGGATTGAACTCAGGTCCTTGTGCTTGCTAAGGAAGCGCTTATTCTACTGAGCCATCTCCCCAGCCCTTCTATCTTTGATCTTATAGATTAAAATATTAGTAAAAACATAACTTCTATCATACTTTTGAGGGAATGGAATGTTTTAATGGCTCCCTCTTTCTGAAAGTAAATCTTTTTTAATAGACTCACATGCACATATGAAATATAAAGGGACTGTGTTGTTCCCCAGTTTTTCACAAGGGTAACGTTCTACAAAACTGTAAGAGAAAAAAATAGGATATACATGATGATCCATCAATCTGATTCCAATTCACTGACTTTTATTTTTTTTCACCCCCTTGCTTTCCTTTGTGATAGTTTCCTTCTCTAATCGCTTCAATAAAATTATATATATATATATATATACATATATATATATATATATATATATATCTTTAATTTCATTATGGTGTGTTCAACTGTAAATTTCTTGTCTTGCTTGGAATTTACTAGCTTTTTCAGCATGTTTTATTGTCATCAATTGTGAAAGTTCCCAATCATTTTCTCTTTACATACTGTCTCTGCCTCATTCTCCTCCTTAAACTCTAATCAGACATGCTTAACTACTTTTTTTTTTTTAATGCTTAACTTCTTTAGCTTTCATTTATTTAACCTCACCTATCACATTGTCTAGAAGGACAATTTCTTATCTAATTCACGAATTCTAGCTTCAGCTACATTGATTTTTTTTTTTGTCTTTTTGAGAGCTACATTGATTTTGCAGCTCAATTATGTACTAAGTTTTTGGTTTCAACAATCTGCTATATTTTCTCATCTAGAAGTTCAGTTTTCAAAATTTTCTTGGTCATTCCAAATAGTCCATTACCCCTTTCTAAAATTTCTTATTTCTTTAAATGTTGAAAAGTAAAAATCGCTCCTCTTGTGGACTTATGAGACTCTCCTAAGTACCACTTATGAGAATGCACTAAGCTCTAGACGGAACTGAGCTCCTCCAAGACAGCCTGCATGTGCTTTCGTTAGTGTCCTGTGGGTGCAGTTACCCACAGCTGGTTTAAAATGGCTCATCTACTTGGGTTTTGCAGACCACAGTGGCAGTGCAATTAACAGCACTTTGAGTGGAGGCCCATCCCATAGCTGCAAAGTAATCAGGGAGCCAAGTTTACTTCCAGTTCTATCTAATACCAAAGGTAGGGTGAGAAAACTAACCTATTCTCCTCTTCAGGTTGGTAAAGTTCACTTCTTATTGGCCAGTCTGGGGTGGCTTGAGTTCACCTCCCGGCCCCGTCCTGTGCAGTCACAGGAAATGCCCACCGGCCCAGGGTTCAGCCTGTAACTCAGGGTAAAGGCCAGCTTCAGGCATCACCCTCTAGGGCTCTGGTTTTTGCTTCAGTTTCAAGCTGGGTGGCAATCTGCAGGATCATTCTGGCCACCAAATACTATATATTAAATTTTGCAGAAAATGCTACTTCGTTATTTCTCTTAAATACTTTAAACATGTTTATTTTACACTCTATAACAGATCTTTAAGTCCTTTAAAAAACCTGTTTTTACTTTTGTTTTATCCCACATACAATGGATGTAATTTACATATAAGCTCACATTTGCTAAGATAATAATATATCATATATTGATTGTTATTTTTAAGCTATTGTTATGAAATTTTATTCTTTCACAGGAAGGAAGCTCTTATTTGGCTGATTTTAATCTGTGGACACCCAAGGAATCTGATTTGTAAGTGGCTGCTTCTGTGGACGTTCAGGGCTCGCTCCCAGCGGCACCTTAGAGGCCACACGCAGACCACTTTACTATCAGCTTGGAGGCTCGCAGCACCACAGGTAAATAAACTACAATCACAACTCAGCATGAGAATACAGCTTTATTATACGTTACCGAGGAAGTCTGCTATTTCTTCGTTCCAGGTCAAAGTCACACAGATACTGTGCCAAGTTGAAGACAAGACTTTTTCTTTCTCCACTAGTCCACATGTTCTCAGGGGCGCAGGGGGGACTTGGCGATGCTGGCTGAGTGCCAACTCCTAACTTCCCCCTTGAATGGACTTGAAGTTAAAGTCTTGTTTTTGGTCTGATCTAGTGACGCATTACTAACTGGCCCCAGAGCATCTTAAAATCCAATTTTTGAACCCCTTGTTGGGTTGGAACTTTCCTCACTTGGGGGCCGGGGGGAATGCCGCCACGTAGTGACTTTGTTGTGTTATATATACTAGGCAGATTTCTTTTATAAGTGTTTTGTCTTGTTTCTACTCTGTTAAGTTGGCAAATTACCAAAAGTCCCTGAATATGTCTTAAAGAAATGACACAGAATGCTCCATGGTCATTAGGAAAAATGAAGCTCACTCAGGAACTGCAACAAATAGTGAAAAATACATACCAGCTCTACACTATGATCTATGACAGAGAACAGAGGTAAAAGAAAAAAGTCAATGTAAGTTAGAGAAATTTTTTTTAAAAGATAACTGAAAAACGACAGAAGAAAGTTTCTAGAGGAAGGGATAAGAGATGTATGAACAAAACTCAACCTAATCAGAGAAGTACAGACCTAGAAGAAAACAAATTGTAACAAGAATACAAAGTCTTCAACTTTCCTAGAAGGAAAAAAGAGTGCTTTTATTTCAGGGCTTTTAACACTGCTGATGAAGATTGTTTTTCAATCACATATCCATTTTTCTGGAAAAGATCTCAGAAGAGTACCTGGTACCCAGGTTTAATTTACCGGGATGGTTTCCCTACCTTGATAGTAGCCTATGACAAAAATCCCCAGGGTAGTTTCATGTCCTTAAGGTTTTTTGTCCTCTACGTTTACAAAAATTACAGTAAATTCTCAATTTACAGATTACAAAGATGAAAAGGGCTTCAATCTCAATCCTCATTACAGCAGGAAGGTTATTTTGTCATACACATCTGTTGTACATCTTGCTGCTTGCAGGTACAATTAAACCAACTTCTAGTCAAAGTGACAATTTGACAGAGCCACAATTTGAGAACTTGATCTCTTATAAATTTGTTTTCGTTTTCTTTCTTTCTTTCTTTCTTTCTTTCTTTCTTTCTTTTCTTTTTTTTTTTTTTTTTTTTTGTGTGTGTGCAGGGTCTCACTACACAGCCCACATTAGTAGTGATCCTCTTGATTTCTGCCTCCCAAGTGCTGGGATTACAGGCGCGCGCCACCACGCCCGGACTCCATCACCGGCTCAGTGCACCCGGGGGCAGAGTCAGGGATCGAACCCTGGCCCCTGCGCTTACCTAAGCAAGTGCTTAGTCTGCTGGATCTCTTATAAATTGTGCTATTTTCATCTAATTCTCTGAGAAGAATAGTTTCTATATTCAAAAATATACAAAATAAGCCCAACATTTTTTTATTTCTATACACAAACACACATGGTTTTCCCACTGCATTAAAAGGCAGACTATGGTGGGGTGTAGTCACGCATGCCTATAATCCGAGAACTTGGGAGACTGGGGCAGGAGAACTACTGTGTGTTTGTGGCCAGCCTGGGATGTGAGTTCAAGGCCAGCCTGGGCAACAGAGTGAAACTCTGCCTCAAGAAAATGGGAGGGAGGCAAATTACTTAAAATTTAGAGTTTTGGGATATACAGGTAGTTCTTGGGAAATAGTAAACATTTTGTATCCCAGTAAAAGTGAACTAAAATATATAAATTCCCCTGCCACATGAGCAGGTAAGGCTACATAATATTTATTGAATACTTTTACTTAAACTCAAAAGTTAAACTGATATATGCACTTTGACCCTTACATGATGATTATTTATTCTTTGAACCTATCAATATGTTAATACCTGCAGGCCATTAGAGCAGTGTAACTTTCCATTTTAAACTATCTTGAGAAAAATACGACTATGCTTTTCCTAAGATATTACCCTTCAAAAAGAGTATGTTTGCTATAACATCTAATCATAAATTTTCTCATGAACATAATCTTCATTTATCTACATTCCTAAAATTAATGCATATAACATAATAAAAAGAAACCTAGAAATACTTTATTTTTGAAAAGTTTTTAGTTCTAGTCAGTTATTACAAAGGTCCCTTGAGATATGCAATAAGTAACTCCTGCCTTTTTCTCAAACACTAATAAAATTGCTAGAGTACACATATATTACTTACATTTTAATTTAGAACATCAACTATAGATTCAAAGTCATCCCTTTGCTTCACCCTGATGAAAGCCTACCTTTTCTTGTCTCAGAGGCTCTTAAGTAAGATATTTAACAAACTTCCGAAGTTTAAAACTAAAATATAATTATATAAATATATAAATATATAGCCTACAGGTAGAAGTGGGACAGTACTTGCCTAGTATGTGTAAGCAAGGCCCTAGTTCAATCCCAAGCACTGTTAAAAAAAAAAAAACAAACAACTCAACCCAACACCCAACACAACCCAAACAAACCAAACCAAAACAAAACAAAAATAATGTTCTCAAAAATGCAGGTGGGAAACTCATACTGCTGAGCCATGAAGTATTATCATGGTAGCCTTTTCTTAATAACCAGTGGTGGCTTTTCTAAACACTGCCAGCTCTGACCTGTGCTGCTAAAACAAAAGGAAGGGACTGAGAGCCTGTAAATGCTGAGCTGACAGAGCTCCCGAGGAGCTCTTTCCCACAGTGCTCCGCATCACAGAGGATACAGGGAAGCCAGTGCTACTGTTCCCCACGGAGCCCTGCCATAGGGAGGCCATTCACTAAGCTCCTTCAATGGGGTTTCTACAATCTGATTCTGCGCTGTACACGGCAAGGGCCCATTGGTCACTCCACCATTTCTCCTACCAGAAGGAGAACTAGACTTAGTAGCGCCTTGTACAATAATTGACAGGGCAATACTTGCTCAATTCCCAGGGCTGGTACAGACAACAGAATGATATGAATGTTGTTCCACTGGAACACAGCACAGGGTATTCTGGGAAAAAATGTGATTGATTTTCTGCAGAAAGTCTTTGTTTTCTCCTTCATTATTCTACTCTACTCTTCCACCTCCATTCCAGCTAGGCAAAAGGAACACTTAGGACTGTTCCTTTAAGAAGGAGAAACAGTATTACTCTTGCCAGCTGAACAAACAAGGAAAACCACTCCGCAGCGCTCTCAGTTTTCTGCTGTCATAACTGAGGTCCACACGTTGATAGAGGTTTCTCGTCCACCTTTTCTGGGAAACTTCATTTCACAGGCTTGTTCATCCCTAAGAATCCCAGGTGAGGCTTGAGAAAGTCAGATCTCCAGCTCCTTCCTAACTTACTTAGCATCTTCAGGGGAAAGACGCTGGAATGCCTTTAGCAAGCACCCCAGTACTTCTTATGATGAGTTAAGTTTCAAGAACACTGAACCTGTAGTTATGTTCACGTTCAGAAAAAATAAAAGCCTATTCCTCTTTTCTCCCTGAGTTTCAGAAACTAGAATATGGAATACAAGAAATAAACAGCACATATTAAGCTAAAACTCAGTTTCTGTTGCATGCTAACGAATTAGGGCAGCTAAACAATATATGAAAATGAGCTATCTGGTGGTAATTATTAAATTGTCATCCTGAGGGCTGGTGGCACTAGCTTAAGTAACTCCTGTTTTGGAAGTATAATCTTTCCTTCTACCTAGAAATTTTGCAAAATGATCTTGTTTGACATGTGCTACTAAAGATCTGTACAAACTGAAGTGGCTCTGCCCAAAATGCAAAAAGCAATGATTGCGAAGACCCCAGGTCTTCACAAAGGCCTAAAAAGAAAGCCAAGGGGACTGGACAGCCCACTTCCTTCACGCTCATCTCCGAGCGTGTTATCCAACAGAGAGCAACCAGCATGTGGAGGCGAGTGGGTGAATGCAGCACGCAGCAGCGCCATAAATGAAAGCAGCACCGTGTAATTTCACAGTGGTGGACACAGGAGAGAAAAGTATGCTTACAAACTGGTATATATTACCTGGTGTAAAACTTACTGTAACTGCTTTTAACTTAAATAGTTTACGTGGAAATTTATTTTCCAAACAGGAAAGGCAAATCCTGAGAGGCCCACAACAGCACAAAAGGAAAGAAAAGGAAACAAAAGCTAAGGTAGTACATCTGAAGCATACAACCCAAGCCAGGCAACCCCCAAGGACAGGAGCACACAGTGTGGCATCAGTGCTTCTCCCCGCAGTGTGGACTTGGCACGAGGAACTACAAATGGCATGTTTCAGGGCCAGAACTCACAAGAACAAAGACTGAACAAGAAAGGAGGGAGAGAGCTCAGGGAGAGTGAGGGCAGAACCCGAGGAGACAGAATGAAGGAGAGAGGGGACAACATGCAATGTCTCATGCAAGGACCTCGGTGGGGGCAAGTGAGCACCGGGTAACACTCGGCGAGAACAGAGGACCAGAGAAGTGAGACACACCTCAATCACAGAAACAAACCGCTTACCCTCCGCTTTAGTGGTAGTACCATCTTTAAGCAAATTAAAAAACAAGGGAAGGGATAACAGGGAACAGTTAGTAACATTCAAAAAATTAAAAAAGCAGAATGTTATTAGCTACTAAAAAACCAAAAGTACAGTTTCAAACAAAACACAAAAGGAAACAAGTTCAACAGCAAAGCAGAATCTGAAGCATGTAAGTGCACTGCAGACTAAAATTAGCTTAGCACAGTGTAACGGGTTTTTTGCTTTTGGAGAACAAAACACGAAAGGGCAGAGCAGGGTTGTGCCTTGGCTGAACAATGACTGTGGTTGTAGACAACCCTTCTCCTCTACGAGTTCATTCTCCCTGAAAGAAAGGACTAACAGAATGCAGGGAGCAGCAGAAAGGGACTGAAAGGGGGGGTACTGAGGGTCCCCCACAGGGCAGAGGCAAGTGAGAGCTCAGAGGCTGGCTCTAGCAACGCCTACCCAACTACAGGCCCAGCAGCAGCACAGCAGCTGGCTAGCTCAGTACCTGAGTCCAGGCCTACGTACTCCATGTCTTCCCTCATGTGTCTGGATTCTAGAAGTTCGGAAAAGGATTGTCAGCTTTAATGGCATACTTGTGCGCGCGCGTCACCTGTCAACCTAAGCAGTAACTGGATGGCTCTTCAGCAGGATTATGTTCCATTTCAGGTTTTCAGTTCTGTTTTGGGACATAATAAGGAAGTACAAGGAGACCTCCCAGGAAACAAGGGACAGCATCTGAGCACTGCCTCGCGCCGCATGAAGCGTCAGTGCGGGGCTGAGCTGCCCTCAGCACTTCGGGAAGGCACTGCTCAGAATGAAGACTCGGGGCTTTCACTAGCACTGGTGAAGTCTACTCGTTTCACATTCAAACACCCCAAATAATCATACAGGAACAGGCATGGCGGCACACGCCTGTAATCCCAGCACTTAGGAGGCTAAAGCAGGAGGACCACCGTCAATCTGCGGCCTGCCTGAACTGTATAGTGAGACCCTGTCTAAAAAAAGAAAATAGGGAGTTGGCTAACGGTGGACTTAACTCATTTTTCAGCACGGAAACAAATGCTAATTATAAGTACTACAGGTGCGCCAAAAGACTATGTCATCAGAGCAGCGATGAGCTGTGGCTTCTCCCTTGCTCAAAGATTACATCAAGAGAGCATGGTGACACCCCACACACGGGTACCACAGTTCAGAGGGGAAAAGGAGCGCCCTGCCGGGGCTTCTCCCGCAGCACTGCGCACACGAAGTACTCCCACGCAGAACACCTCGCTGAGGGGCTGTGTGCTCCGGGTCACACATACAGTCATGCTCTGTCACAACGCTGCTTTCTTCTACCTAACGAGAGTTTACAAAAGACTTTCTTCATATCCTCTCACTGTTCCTCATGGGCCTCAACCCAGTGGTCATTACTGTAAGCGACTCAGAGATTTCACGGCCTGCTGGAGGTCACAGAGCCAGGAGGCGGCAAACCCAGCAATTTCTCTGCAGTTTGCTGCTCACTGTGCTCCCCATGGACGGGGCATTTCAGGGTTTAGTTTCAGTGCCAACTGGGGAATTCTAGCAGGCCACCAGAAAATCCATTTCAGCATTTCACATTTAAAATGTATTTTCTTAACTCAAAGTAGAACTCGGCCATGTCTTCAGATTAAGAGACTGAATGACCTGACTTTTACAAAATTATAATAAAATAAACCATCGCCTTATAAATACTGGTTGTTACGTGTCTGTTAAAAAAAATGAGTCACGGACCTACCACTATTGCCAAACATCAAACTTCTGGAAAAGAACGATTTAAAACCTCTTTGGGGCAATCATTCAAGTGGGGGTGTTTCTCTCAGGTGACCACAGGAGGACAACACTGCTAAGTATAGGTGTGTTATGCTGATTAAAGGAGTCCATCACTTCCCCTTTTGAGTCTTCTTGTGACTTCCCAACTCTGAGAAACAAACTGCAGTGACTACTGCTAAGTCCGTCACTGAGACTCCTGGTCCTGTTTTTCCAGTGCCAGGAGCTAGAAGGGGAGGGGGTAAGCTATGTAGGGGAGGGGGTGAGCGGGTCAGCTGTGGTGTGAGTACCGGCTGGGCTTGCCATTGAGGAGGACAGAGCTAGGGGAGGACATGTGCAGGGCCACCAAGCCTGTGAGCCACTGGCCTTGCTCCTTATTAAAGAGGATGAAGCTCCAAGGAAAAGCAACCCTTGACAGAAGGTGGCTGGGAGCTCGCACCAAAGTTCTAAGTCAGACTGGCCCCGCAACAGTAAGACTTCCTCAGTTGTGGTGGTCTATAACCCGCGCAGAGGTCAGGCTAGCTTGGACAGCAGATGGGGGAGGAGGGGGAGTGTTTTTGGTTACCTAAAGATGCGTAAGACCCTGGAGGGAGAGCTGCTGCAGAGCTGAAGGGCATGGTGCCTGAAGTGGAGGAGACTTTGGATTTGGCACTGGCTGCAGCGTTCACGTCAATATCACTTCGTGATCGCTGGAGGGACCCAGTCGTCGACACAGATTTGGTGCTAACTGTAGAAGCTTTGGAGATAAAGGAGAAAATGCCAGTGAGGACTATATAGAAATATTTTTCTTTTTTTCTTTTAAGAATACAAAAATAGAGAATTTTCAAAATATGTTGTTAAAACATGATGACTTGATTTTCTCGAAAACAAATACAAGTACCAAGGGCTGAAGTCCACAGGACTGATCAGAAGTTTCTCCTGTCTTAATGGGGGAGTTTAGCCAATGATGAAGGCAACCGGGTACCCAGACTACAATGTTATCTACTATACTTATTTTCTTGTAATTGACTATATCACCTCCCAATATTCCTTAATTTGGGGTACTTGAGATGAAAAAAAAAATTATGGTCTGTCTGTCTGCCAGCCTTCTCAAGATGTGGTGCGAATATGCAGGCGGCCAGACGCCCTCCCCTTCCAGGAAACCGGCCCTTCGTCTTCTCAGGACCACCACGTTGCTGCCTGGAGGAACATCAAGAGTGAAGAGTCCACAGGGCATCGCTCACCCATGATGTGAACTGAGAGAGCAGCAGCACTACTTGTGGCGGCCGCACCCCCTGCGGGGAAGGGCAGGGGAGATCAGAGCTGAGTGTGCACTGGCCTCAGTCATCCTGGCAACCGGACCAGAGCTCTGCTCAGTGCGTGAGAGCACACGGCACAGCCGGGGGCGGGTAGAGACTTCCTGTGCTGAGCAGGTCTGCAGGGTCTGCGGGGCTGAGCCAGACCCCCCGGATGGGGACAGGTGCCCTCAGCCAGCCCTGCGCTGCTCCTCTTACCTCTAGAGGTGGTACTGCCAGTAGGACTTCTTTTGGAAGAGAACGGCCGACTAAAAAGCAAGGTACACACGTTTATTATTAAAAATGTACTCTATTAGCAGTAATACAAAGACTATGCCAGAAAATTGTAACAATAATTACTTGAGAGTTTTCAGAGTTTTTCAGACAGTATGGGCCAGGATCTTATAAACTGAGTTCTGATGGAGCTTCAGGACTGCAGTTGGTACTACCATAATCACTAGAGAAAGATCTAAAACTGCAGGGCAAAGATGGTGAAGCACCAAGTTCCAGGTTTCTCAGTTCATCTGAGTTAACACTGACGACCTCTCAGAAGACTCACCCTGCCCTGTAATTTACTATTTTTTTCTTTTTCAAAATTTTTTTATTTAGTACATGTTTGCAGTACATAAAAATTATATTCATGTGGGGAACCAGCACCTGAACATAGCACAGCTCTTTCTGTAATTTTCTAAGCTAGTCTGAGACTGGCTGCCAGTTAGCCGAATACATTTAAGAAGACTACTTACAGCAGGGTCCACGGCCACCTTACCAGCATCACAACCCACCTGAAGATGGTGAACTGTGATAGGAACACTCACACAGAAACACAGCTGGAATTCACATGCAGCAACATGAAATCCACACTGCCACACTGTGACCACAAAGCCAGGCCCCTTACTTGAGACTTTCTTGAGAGCTAGAAGATGAGCGGTCAGACTGTGGCAGAGACACGATGCTGTCTGAGTTCTTCAAGTGTGACTGCAGGGCTTTCTGGTACGAGGACTCCAGGGTGTGGTACAGGTGCTCTGCCTCTCTGCTGAAGTGACTGTGGAAGCCCCAGTAACACCTAGGCAAAGACAAGCTCTTGTTCCAGGGCCAGCCTGGCTGCTGCTATCAGTAGCAGGGTACAAGGGAAAGGGATGAAAAAGGAGGTGTCACAGCATACTGGCCTCCTCACACTGGACAAGTCACTTAATTTCTCTGAACTTCAGCCCATGCACAGAACAGGAAATAAATGATCTTAATTTACAAGACTAGGGGCCTGAGGAAAGGCAGAGCTAAAACACACAGAACCACACTTAGAACGCAAGATGGAATCATTAGTGGGGGCTTTACAGATGCAATTTGGCATTCCTTGATTTGAGTGCTTAAAACTGCCGAGTATCACTGTAACAGAAAAAAGTTCAGAGCTACATGAAATCTGTAGCACTTTAAAACTATAAAAATCTTGAGGTAGGAGAATACAAGGATCAAAACAGCACACTACATAGATAATTAACAAATCCATTTGCAGTTTTTCGCAACTATGAATTCTGTCACTTGGTAGGAACTGTTCAAAATGAATTTGGGGTAAATACTGCAGAGTTATAATCCGGAAATAAGGGGAACATAACTGCGAGGTAGTCAAAATGTAGTATTAGATCAGGATGTATTAATGTGACCCAATAAACTGCAATATTTCAGGTAAGACAAGATTTTAACCTGTGTCAACTAGAAGAGTTGGTCAATTAGGGAAGTGTGGAAAAAACGACAAAGACAGAACTGGCAGCCGCGATCTGTTTCTTCCTGCCCTGCTAGGCATGGAACACAGGGCCTCATGCACGCTAGCTAAGCACTCTACTGAGCTACCGTCAAGCCCTGAGAGAGTAAATCTTAGTATCAGACCTCTTTACAATCACATGTCCAAATCACTCCCCAGGAGTTAGGATCCTGGGGCAATGGCCACATGACCGCAGTGCGCTCAGCCCCGATGACACACGCCCCACCACTGTGAGATCAAAACAGCACATGAGCCCTGAGACAATCCTGAATATTGCTAACCTAACACCTGCACCATAATTTACTTATCTGCAAAGATATGACTGTGGGGAGAAAATCCCATGAGCAAGACTTTTCATGGTAAATCAATATAAGTACTCAACCAACCTTATAACAAGAAAAGAAAAAAAAATACTAGAGGAATATTCTGAAATGGGCTCTGGGGTCAAATTCCAAAATTACTGAAGAATATCCAAATACATTTATGGGCTTTTAATCCATACAAGCACACAGAACACAACAGCTAATTTAAGCACAGTGGTATACAATAACAACTTACTTTCTGGCTTCTATCCTTGCTTCAGAATCAGCGTCATGTATTCCCTTCTTTATTGTTTCTGCTAATACTGATATGTGTCTAGATACATAGAAAAGAAAGCAATGACAATCACAAACAGAAGGTTTTCTGTGGATGCAAACAAGCTTGTGAATCAACTTCAGAATAGCTGTGCAGAAGGGGAACAAGGTCAGACAACTGACCTGAAACCCAGGGGACGTGAATGCCCCTTCAGGTCCTCCTCCTTACCTAGGCCCAATCCCTCTGCCAAAGTCCCATCCTAAGCTCACTTAAGGAAACACATGGTCTGCTCTCTTCTGAGTTTTTTTATCACAGGTGACTTTCTCAGCCTATACTATGTAGCTCAATCTTTTATAAACTTTAGCCACAAAATCCTATCTTGCCATGGTCAGTTAGTTTCTATAAAAATGATGAAATGATAATAATCTTAACACTAAAGAATTTGTCTGCACATTTCAATAATGAAACAATGTATTTTTTAAGTTCTATTACTGTTTAATATTAGCTTCTGTTTTGAAGGGACAAGGTCTTGGTATATTGCCCAGGCTGGTCTTGAACTCAAAATTGTCCTGTCAGCCTCCCAAGGGGCTGGGGCTTCAGACATGTGTCACTGTATCCATTTTAACATAAATAATTTTTAAAAATCACTTAACTATTTCATAAACACATGTTGTCTATTGTTGCCAGTTTAGTGTAGCTTAACTGAAAAGAAATTACCAACATAGGTCTCACAAAGTAATAGAATCTTAAGATAAGGAACATGACTACAATGAATCGTTTCAACATGTTCATAGAACAAAGACGGACTTGACCAGCACTTCCAAGTCCTTGCCTCGTTCTTTTAACAAATACTGAGGAGTCAGTCACCTGGTACAGAGGTGAACAAGTCACATCTGAGTTCCATGTGCTTTTCTGTTCTGCTCACCTGCCACACATTAAACCCCTCACTTCCCACCTCTAAGTTCCAAAGCCATCAACTGATAAAGAGGGTGTAATATCCAAGAGACTAATGTGCAGGATAGTACTGGAAAAGGTATGTGACTTTCTTCTAGATTCAAAGTATTTCCAGATGGAATTTTACCTCTAGAAGGCTTAGTTTTGTTTCCTTTTAGATTGTTGCTATGTGTTACAGAATTTGTTACACTTAAAATTTCATTATTTATCAACTATTTGCTAGACTGCAAAGCTCTTCCAGAGTCTATAATATCCTATGGGGGGGGGGGAATACCATGGCAGATCATCAGCTATCGTCTCCAAATTTAACTGAGCATGATAGACCAAAAATTGACAAGAAGCAAAACTGTCAAAGACGAAATCTCAAAATGAAGATATGCTTCTTTGAAAAGTCTGCCACAATCATCTTTTTTAATTATAATGAATGGAAGTCACCATACACCAGCCCAAGTAAGAAAAACCACTGAACATCCAGAGGGAGGAAAAAGGGAATACTCTGAGTGAAATTCTCTTAAGCACCTGAAAGGTACAGAGTACCTGCTCCGAGCAGCTTTAAGCCTTGCCCTCTGGATCTGATAGGTACGCTAAGCAACATGACTGCCATCAATAAAGAGTTGCTCCTGGTTCTGTAGCTATCTGGTCTCATTTGCCCACATTCTGGGCACGCTAATATTTCAGTGACACTCGCTGAAAAGTTCCGCAATTGTGATGTGGCTCACATCAGCAGAAATAACCACAGTCAAGCAAACAAATGCTTAGATTCTATCACTTCTTATCCAAGGTGGGCTGGGCTGCTTTTAGGGGGACTCACTCTCAAGACTCAATCCAGAGGAAGAAAGTTTCAAATCAGACATGCTCTTACCTTTCCAGTGAATGTGTCTGCCATTCTTGTAAAAGCAAATCTAAAAATTCAAAACAGCGCCTGAAAAGTATTAAGAAATATATGCCTTAGTCACACACACACACACACACACACACACACCAGTCAAATTAAAAAAGCTGTTTTTTTCTTAACTGATTCTATACTACTACCTATAATGGCTTTAATTTGTATAATGAAGATAAAACATAATATGAAGAAAATCAGAACTGACTGAAAGCCAAAGCAGATAAAAGTGTGGAGGCACAGGTAGGGGCCACAGGGACAAGAGGTCAGGACAGAAAGAGTTCGCTCTAATCTGAGTTTCATAGTGACATTACTGAAAGGCTCTATCATCATCGTCTGTTTTTATATTATCCTAATACTACATTAATACAGAGTGTAAACATGCAGAGATTAATATTTGTTACTAAATTAGGGAATTGCTCTATTAATTTTACAGAATCTCTACAAAAACAACAGAAAATATTTTGGAAAACTAAGTGTTCGCCACATTTTCCTGCTAAGGTCCTAAGTAGTTCTTAATATAACTTTTCTAATAGCTATTCAGCTGCTTTCAACATCCTTTTTGAAGCCTCATTTCTGTGGTCTTTCTTGGTCTGATTAGCATCACAAAAATGATTCAAAGTCTCACTTCCTGGGGTTACACCACCAGCTTCCTGCCTCTCAGTAATTTCCACCTTCTGACTTCCTATCTTTGTGGGAGAAAATTACAGTAATCCTAGGAATCCACTCTAGGAAAAGCAAACAGCTTGTATTCTTTCAATAGTAAAGTGACTAGATTTTCCTTCCCATGATCCTCCCAATTCAGCGCCTAACCCATATAATTAATCATCCCATTAGGCTTCAATCGTCCCTGGCCCTTTGGTACACGACACAGACACAGTAACACCCAGAACGCAGCCTGGAACGCGGAGTGCCGAGCAGCAGTACCAGGCTCCGGGAGCACAGGGTCTCCCACAGCACCTAGGGGAGTCGCGCAGCCGGGCCTGGGCTGGCGATGCAGTGTGAGCGCTGCTGAAGCAACAGCCCTCGAAGGAAAACACATGAAACTGCCCACACCACTGCTTCACTGTTGTTTTCCTATTCAAACCCAACCCAGACCTTGCTGATTCTACTTCCATTGTCTTGCCCAGGCCATTTCTTAGTCAGACTTTTTTTTTCTTCACCTATTCCTTCCTACTCATCTTTAGAAAACAGTAATTCATTGATGAAGCTGCTTAGGAACATATCATCTGGCTTTAATCACCACCCTAAGCAAATTCCTAATCCACAGCACATACACTGTCATTCATTCTTAAATCATTTATCATTGTTTTTATTCTCAAACTCATAGAAGTCAAAATTCAGAAGCAGAGAGATCAGCGGCCACCAGGTGCTAGGAAATTGGGAATCTTCGGAGATGTTGATCAAACAACATAAAATTTCATTTAGGAAGAAAAAGCTTTAAGAAACCTATTGTACATTGTGCTAACTTCAGTTAATGATACATTGCAAACTTGAGGTTGCGCACACAGTTTTTAAAGGTTCTTACCATATAAACCAAGTATGTGAGGTAATGAATATGTTTAATATTTGATTTAACCATTCTACAATGTGTACCTATATCAACACACCACCTTGAACACCATAAATATATGCGATTCACTCATGTTAATAATAGATGAACACTGGCCTGTGTCATCTTCAGGAAAGTCTTCTTGTTCATAGATGATGGCAGGAAGAAGGTGACACCCCAGAAAAGGAAGCAAGCAATAGGCAACTAAGGTAAACTAGCGCTACACCTTGTATTTTTAGGACAGGGTCTACAGGGTCTCACTGCGTAGACTGGACTTGTAGTGATCTGCCTGTTTTCAGCCTCCCAAGTGCAGGGATTATAGGCGTGCACCACCACACCTAGTCTCAATTGCCATCTCAGGACTCTTTCACTAGGCTGGCGTCCAGAAACAGAGCTATGGGAATGAGGCCAAAAGGCCTCTGCTCAAACTTGCTTTTCAGTTACCCAACAAGCCTCCTGACAGGTCCACTGATAGGCTTAGTGTCGGCTATGAATTTTGTAATAATCTACACACAACTACATTAGGCTGCAAAGATGGTCTATAGACATTAATACTTGACTCAACAGTGAAGAATTGCCAATCTGAATCACGAGAGTACAGCTATCACTCTTCACTTGTCCTCTAGGGTAGCTCACCAGGATAAAAAACAAGACAAGGGGTTGGGAACAAAGTCATCACTAGTTAGCCAGGTGGTAACTGCCTATACTGTCTCCTGGTTATACCTCTCAAATCCACCTGCCAGAGCCAAGTGACTGGGACAGGGTTTGGAGTCACAGTCCCAAAATCACTACCAAGTGGTGAAAACAGACTTCCTCCTATCCATCTCTGTACATAACTGCAGCCACTGGTGTTTGTGGTATTGATTTGTTTTGCAGGCGTATTTGCTCAGAGTGAAGCAGGGCAACAGCACAGTATCAGGAAGAAGGATACAAGGATCTTCTCCTTTCATTACCACGTCCCACACACACACACACACACACACACACAGACAGACATCCTATTTCTATTCCCAAAATATTTAGATTTTTATCTTTTGACTTAAACCATTTATTGCAGAATCTGTAATCATATTAAACATTTCAAACCATATTAAACGTTTTATCCACAAAAGAGCATTTAGAGTTTGTTCTGGTTTCCATGCAATTCAAAAATAATCAGGAAGTACTTTAAAAATTTACCTTCTAACTGCAACAGACTTAGAGGTACAGTTGCTTGTTATGACAGGTATTAACCTAGGGATGTGTGTGTGCTGTGGAGAAGAACAAAACACAGGTGAGCAGCTGCAGGCACGCAAACAGTGAAACAACGAAGAGGACTGCTTCCTTCCTAGCCAAGATGTAAACGCCAGTGAAGTTTTTAACGTCAAAGGCCACCATATAATTATGGGGCAAAGGAGAAGCAACATGAAATGTATAAATTAGCCTAAAAATCAAAGGAGTCACTGGTATAAAGTCTAAGTTTTCTTGGCACGCTGAAAAGGAGCCACACATCAACATATTCTCACACTATTTCAGTGAGAATGTACAGCAATAGTTTCGTGTTTAACATCTGAAGTAGGCAGTATAAGCAAGAACAAGAACTAAAAATAGTACAAAGTAGCCCAAAGTAACAAAAAAGAACATTCTGGGTAGGTTTTAGCATCATCAAGCTCCAAAGTTTTACGTTTCCTCTGGGGAAAATGTGGGGTGACTTAGAAACTTTCACTTTAAGCCTTGCTGAACAACTGAGATTTGCTGAAAATCTGTACATTCATTACTTAGATAGTTAAGTAAGAAGAACAGCAGTGGTGAACCTGCCACACAGGCCACAGTGGGCTGCCTACAAACTGAACTGAAAAGATAATTCTGTTTTTGTGCTTATATGAAATTAATTTTACAAGTTTTGGATAAGTTGGAAAACTATAAGCACAATACATAACATGGGAAAACTGCAATTATGAAGTGGTATCAGAGACATAATAAAATATGCCTAGCAGTAGGGGTGGCTGTTCACATACTTAAAACCAAGGTTGAGTGCGTGACTGTGCAACACACGTCCACAGTTCACACTTAAGATGGTGAAAAGCCCAGTGTGCTACGATTAGGGGAAAAACGATTAGGGGAAAATTCAATCTTGGATATAAATCATGATTCCTATGATCTATAATTAATAAGAAATGTCTGCTACGTATCTACCATCAAAATTGACCGAGTGCTTATTTTATATACAACTCTATAACCTACTTACCCGAATGATTAACCTAATAGCTACAACACCAGAAGTGGCCATAATTTTGGCACTGTTGGGGATTAAATTAAAGATGGTTGGCATAATGGCTTCAGCTCCATGGTCAAACTTATTCCCCAGAACCGATGACAAATGCCTACAACAAGAAACGAATGTAAGTTTGTAGCTGTATTTGGCATCAGTAGTGAAGCATATAAACCTTTTAACATTTGAGAACCCTCATAAAAGTTATCAACAGAAAAAGGACTAAAGTAAAAATACTTTTGAAAATAATTTCATTTGAGTTTAACACATTTTGAGTTGATATTTTAATATTTGCTACAGGTGGTACTTCAACACAACATAAAATTTAGCGCCCACAAACAGGAAGATTGCTTCGATATTTTTTTTTTAACATTATGGAAAAAAGTAAAACACAATCTCCTAACAGCAAATTAACAAAAGTTAATACAATGCATATTGTTATCTTTATAGTAGTTACTCAGAATGCAAGATATGGGCATATGAAATTCTGCAATCAATATTAACACAAACCTTCCTTTTCAATGAACTAAGAGACCCTAGGAGTATAACTAATTTCCTTTTCTTTCTTTTCCCTTCCTTCCTCTCCTCTTTCCTCCATCCTATTTCACTTATCCTTTTGAACAATTTTTTCACATTTCACCATATCTACTCTTTTAGTTTCTCATACCAGGGAGACAATACAATGTTTATACAAGCAAGTCTGATTTATTTCACTTATGAGGATGGTCTCAGGTTACACCCATTTACCTATAAAAGTCCAGTCTGTCCTTCTTTGTGGCCTAGTACTCTATTGTACAAAAAGACCACATCTTTTTAATTCATTTCTCAGTTGATGGGTATGTGGATTGTTTGCAAGATTTTGCCATGAAAAGTTGTGCTACCATAAACATGGGTGCACATGTATTTCTGTGGTATGATGTTTTTAATTCTTCTGAGAAGATACCCAGAAGAGTTATACCTACATCAAATGGGAGCAGTAATCCCAGCTTCCGGAGGGATCTCCACACTGAATTCCATAGTGGCTGCACTGGTCTGCACTCCCACCAACAGTGCAGAAGGGTTCCTTTTCCCCAACATTTGCTATGGCTGCTTTCTTTTTTTTTGTGTGTGTGTGTAACCGGGGATTGAACTCAGGCCCTTGTGCTTGCCAGGGAAGCGCTTATTCCATTGAGCCATCTCCCCAGCCCTATGGCTGCTTTCTTGATGATACTATTCTTTCTGGGGTGAGATGAAGTTTTAGTATTGTTTTCAATTTGCATTTCTCAAATGACCAATGATAATGGAAATTTTTTCATCATAATTGCTTGCCATTTGTATTTCTTCATCTGAGAAGTGTGTACTCATCTCAGATGCCCATTTTTGGTTTGGGTCTTTGAATTTGGGGGGGGGGATTGATATTTTTCAATGCTTTGTATGCTCTAGATATAAGTCTTGTGTCTGAGGGACAATTGGCTAAAATTTTTTCCTACTCTGTGTGTTGTCTTTTCACTCCATTGGTGATTTTTGATGTGCATAAGCTTTCTAAATAAGATGAGATAGATACCAGTTGTTGATTCTTTGAGGTATTTCCCATAAAAACAACTGAAAAATATGCATAGTTTGGAAAGTAGCTATTAGCCAAAGAACTTTTGCTTAATCATTTTCAACTAAGTCCTAAAATAGAAAAAAAAATAACACCACTACCAACCCCCCAAACAATCATATATTAGTAATAAACATGAAAACTATCAGGTGGGGTAGTGTATGCCTATAATCCCAGCTGCTCAAGAGAGGTTGAGCCAGGAGGATCACAAATTTAGGGTCAGACTCACAACTCAGTGAACTCTGTCTCAAAACAAAACAATAAAATGGGCTAGGGATGTAGCTCAAGGGTAGACTGCTTGCACAACTCCTCCCCTCTCCGAAAAAAAAAGAAACTCCTCTGTGTCCCTTTAACATAATAGATTTCTACTTCAATATTTGCGTGCCCCTAAATGTTAAATAGCTCTACTGCTTTCTGGTTGTTCTTCTGATATTGTCTAGGATAACTAGAATTAAACATCATTTAATACCTGGCTTTATAATTGTATACCCACCGTACTCTTCTAGAAACAAAAATTCTGATAATCATATAGTATCTTGTAAACAAAAGCCAATGAAAAAAATCTGATAGGTCTATGGAATTTCATTTTTTAATATTTAATATCAATAACTGCTTCAAGTTTTAGGCAGAGAAGTCCTTACCCCAACGTGATACATGTCTCCCTCACCACCTGAGACCGAAGATCCTTAGCAGAGAGTTTAAAGGCTCCATCCAAAAGACGCAAATGTTGAAAGAAGTTATCATAATCAGCCGCACCAGCCAAAAGTAAAGATCTAATCTTTTTTAGCTAATGGGATAAGGTAAGTCAAGATATACAAGACAATTCTTAATACAGATACACAAAACAACAGAAGTCAAAAATATAAGGTCAACATTATAGTTCAACTGATATAGAAAGTTTTCTCCAAGAGAATTCAGTAAATTACATATTACCTACCTACCTACCTTTCTAGTACACCAAACAAATCTACATATTGCAACTAAGATGAAGTAAATTTTAAAATGTTATATCTGTGATAAATAACTATAGTTTCTATAAAATTTAACTGGAAATTTTAGTATATTTACAGATTCTATGACATCAATGGTAACTAAAAACCATTTTGGATTGTGAAAAGCCCTTTCCCTGTGTTTACTGGCCCCTACATTCCACTCCAATTGCATTTGATACATTTTTCACAAAAGCATTCCTTCGATAGTTCTGTATCATCCTCCACTACAACACTATGAACTGACTAATTTGAATTAGAAACTGAATACAATAGTAATTTTACCACTTATCTCACTGACCACCCAGTGTAAAATAGCCTTTTCAACTCAGACACCCGCATTTTAGTGGTAAGCTCACAGATTTTCCTTTATTTACTTCTAAAAATGAGGTGGTACCATTTTCTAGGCAACTTACATGAAGAATAAAAAGAATATTGAGGAATACACACTGAAAACACCACTAATAAGCTACCTTATTGGCAGAGTCACAGAATTAAAGTTTTGCTGCACCCAGGGCAGGGGCCATCACCAACCAGCCACTGGAAGGGCTGTGTGAGGATGACAAGTACACGTACGCTGTAAGTTGGCATGTTTCAAAAACATAAGTGAGGTGCTCTACTAAAAGGGAAAGTGTAATTATATTTAATGCCTACTTATTTAAAAATCATTAGAGCTCAGCTTCATAAAATATTTGGAATATTTAAAGCTAAAGAAAATAATCATTATGGATAAAAATTTAAAAAAATAAAAAGTAATCTAATTATAGAAAAAAAAAAGAAAACAATCACATGAAGTCAACAGCTTACAGCATTTACTCTCTGCTCCCAGTCATGCTTGTCATCAGATAGTATTTCTCTAATTTTGTTTATAGATTCTTCAAGGTCCCGGCTGGAATAAATCTGCAAGAAAAATTAATGTATAATCACTATTAGACACTTTGCAGCACAAAGACAATTTCTTAATTACTGTCCAGAATGCCCTCCCAGAACATGTAAGTACAGCAACAAGAAATTATTCCATTTTCAAACATCTTAAAATGAGCTTCATTCTCATTGTAACTGTTCAACTACTGGATCTATGGCTATACATAAGAGTAACTTTACCTGAAACACAGCTTTATTCTAAGTGTAATAGAGGATTTCATGTACAAAAGATAAGGCCTCAGGGAAACACTGATACATAGGTCATTTATTAACTGTAGCACTGCTTAAAATGTTACATAATATCTGATGTAATTGTAAGTACTTTCACATTTACTTCATATCCCCACATGCTGATGCATGCTAGAAAGGAGTGGAAGGTGCTGCAGGGCGCCCCTGAGCCATGGTGCCTGCTGCCTGACTGATGCACATGAGGTGCCCACGGGGCGAGGCTGTGCGCGACGGCAGGCACGACAGGATCCAGCACACAGGTAGCAGATGCTGAGAACAAGCACTGGCCCCAGTCAATCAACAAAGTGTACGCTTATATTCCAACTTTTCTACATCTTTACTTTGCAGTTAAGATGCATAAGCTAGGCTTTTATTACACCATTCTCTCTAGTTTTTCACATGCGTGAATCCTTCAAATTTATAAATGTTTTTCTTAAGAAAAATCCCTTTAGAAATGTTTATTCTCTCATATAACCTAATCACCTTTTTTTTGTGACCTGACCAATAGAATATAAGAATAATCTATTTTTTTCCTATTCTTAAAGAATAGGAAATTCTAGGGCTGGCAAGTACCTCAGCGGATTAAAGTGCCTGCAAGCAGGTGCAGGGGCCAGGGGTTCGATCCCCGGGCCCCACCCCCAGGGTGCACTGAGCCATAGAGACTGGGCGTGGTGGCGCAAGCCTGTAATCCCAGCCTTGAGAGGCTGTAAACAGGCAGATCACTACGAGTCAGATCTAGTAGTGAGACCATGAATACTTTTCCCTAAAATACAAAAAATAAATAAAAATAAAAAACATTAAAAAATTCTAATATTTTCTAATCTGCATATCAAATTTCTTACAATCTTGATGGTTTTAAAAATTATCCAACCTAGTACAGGGGCTGGGGGAGACACCTTGGCTGTCTAAGCATCTGCCTGCAAGCGAGAGGACCCAGATTCAATCCTGTAAGCCCAGAGCTGGGGAGACTGAAACAGGAGGATCACTAGTAGTCTAAGCCATGTAGCGAGACTCTGTAGCCAATAAGTAAATAAATAAATGATTTAAAAAAATTTTTTTCAGGGGCCAGGGAGATGGCTCAGTGGAATAAGCGCTTCCCTGGCAAACACAAGGGTCTGACTTCAATCCCCGGTTCTGCACAAAAAAAAAAAAAAAAAAAAAAAATTAAAAAACCCTCGCACAGGATCCCACACAGGGCAGTGCTGTGGCTTGGCCAAGTCCCCCCAGGCCCATGTACTGAAGGCTGGTCTCACGGCGGAGCTCCTGGGAGGTGTGGGGCGCACCCTCATGAGGTCATTTTCAGAGCTCTTACGAAGTCCCAAGCTTAGCCCCTCAGTTGTATAATACGTATGTACTCTCCCTGCTCCCCGTAAAACAGGCATTCACTTGTTTGCTGTCATTACTGCCAGCCTTTGAGCCTCTCAAAGGTGAGCTACATACACTTACATATAGCTATTTCTCTTTCTAAAGTTAATTGCTACAAACTATAAATTTCATTAAAGTAATGTAAAGCTAATATAGGTATGTTTTAAAAATGAAATTTGAAGACTATTTCTGCCTGCTGTTACTCACACTCAGATATTCTCACCTGCACTACAGGTACGTCGTCAAATGCTTTAATAAAGTCCTCTTCATCAACAGCACCAGCACCTTCTTTTGCAGCTATAAAATATAGTAATTTTTAAAACACAGACAATTAAGACACACATTATGAAGTCTGAATACATGTAGCTAAAATTATATTTCAGAAGATTCAGAACTCTTAAAATATTTCACACGGACTTAGGTTATCATGGAACTGACAAGTGCTGCTGATTTAATATCAAGATAGAGGATAGCAATTCTGCAACGCTATGTAAATGAGCTCAAGGCCACTTTTTAAAGCAGAGTTTGTATTTTAAAGCCGGTAGGTGATATCTATTAATAAAGATCCCTAATAAACATGTAACAAAATTTACTTTTTCAAGGGATTAGATTATGCTACTGAGAATTCAGAATAATAAATTTGTGAGACAGCCAAACAAGGTCTAAAGAATTTCAGCTTCATCCAATTTTATACAAGCAGTGATTTAATGTTTAAATTTTAAAACCTTATTATAGTAAAGGACACACTGACAAAAATGATGAGAGAAGCATGGGCAATGTAAAGGGAAATATCTGAGCTACTTCGAAGGGAACGACAGCAATGAGCCTTTCACTGTAATAAATCTTTTGAACCTTCACCACATGCCTCAATTATTCTTTGTTGAACAAATGTTTATGGCAATTTCTGTCAAATAAAAACCTTGTCATGTATTTTCATTTATAGGATCTGGCACTACATGCCCTCTAGGTCTTCCACAAAGTCAAAGTGACCGTGAAAAATAAATGGTTTGAATTGATTGAAGACACTGAGTCAGCCAGGCAGTGAAATGAAACACACAAAAAAGGATTTTCAGAACTATTCCAGAAAGTGGCAAGAATGACAGAGTAAATATGTTTGAAGAGAGAGGATGTATTCTGAGTGGGATTAGAAGAAATGTGTCTTTTGTTGCATTTTTTTTTGAAATTTAAATATTCACTACATTATTCTATCATACTTCATATTAGTTTCAAAACATTTCCATTTCCCTAAACTAATAACTATTAATTTCGATTTAAGCATCAGTTGCAACTTTCCTCTACAAAACCATTCTAAGATGCTTTGTATATTTAAAATAAATTCTCTATCATTTAAAATTGTACCTTTTGCTAACAAACTCTACACATGAAAAATCAATTGATATGTTATCAGATTTGTTTTTTAGAATGACAGCTTTTAAACCGGCATCTATGGTTATTCCTGAAACCCCAGCTAATGATTCACACTGATTAGCTTGACTGCTTTTCTAAAAGCGTCTTACCAGAGATCTATCTGGTGTTTGGAGTCCCAGTGGACGTCCTAGTTGGGAAAGGTCTTTAAAGACAATTCCAGGTGGGCATAGCTCTTGACACTGTACTGACTAACCCTAAGTGTACCACAGGCGCACACTCTACTGTGGTGCCCTACATCCTTGGATTTGGTGCAGCATGAACACGGGCACCCACTGAGCACACAGGTCCTGGGTACTTCCAACCTGCCTGTCAGGCACTGCATCCCACACCCACGTACACACACGCGGAAAAAGGCTCAAAGGCCAGCAAGCCTCTCGTGGCCAAGGGATTTGATAAACAGGAGGTGTGCAGGACAGTACCATGATTCTGATATTAAAAACCATGAAAAAATGGGTGAGTACTGGGTTGATGGGCAGACCTGACAGTTATCTCTGCACCAGTTACCCAGCAGAAACCTCTGAAAGGGGGAAGGAAAACAGGTTCTGGTCATGCAGAAATTCTCAAAGCCTGTTTGTGAGAATCATATTGCCTAAGGACAGATCAAGAAGGAAGGTTAGAAAGATCGTCCAGTCATTGAAAGTAACAGTTCTGATGAACGCTATAAGGTAGATGAAATACTGAAAATGGTCCCTAAAGGGTTACATTTATGTTAAATTCAAGCTCAAAAAATGTTTTTTAAAAGTGCACCCCAAAAGTCAAGAAGAACTGAGAAGAACAACAGCAAACAGAAGCAAAGCAATGTAAACACTGCCAGGAGCTCTGCTCTCTCGGCAGACAGAAGCAGAGATGGAGAACACCCGGCACCTCGGTAACTAGGCAACACACCAGCATCCCGGGGCTAGCTCGGAATCTAAGAAAGGGCTGGGATCTAAAGTCTAAGGAAGACTCTCAGGAGGCACTCAAGAGGATGCTAATCCTCTGTATGGCCTTTACGTAGCTCATTCAGCTTTGGTGGGCTTTGGCTTGCTGAATTCTCACCCACCTTCCCCCAGCCCTGAGCACCTACCAGCTCAAAGCCCCATGTCCACACTGAGCACTGCTTATAAAGGCAGTGCCATGCAGTTCTTTAAGATGTAAAAAGGGAGTCTGCATGCATGTTTAAAATCTGACAACAAAACAAAAAAATCTATATAGCAGTAAGTCTGACTAAACTGGAGATGAGACTTATGGGAAAAACCTTGCAAATTAACTTCTGAAACTTTGGACACTTGACCTTCTATCACTTGTTGAATTTAATATCCATATTGGTCCTGCAAGAAATAATGCTACTTGTAACAACAAAGTACATTTTAAAGACAGAAGATACAATCTGACACTTAGATATTCTCAGTCTCCATTATCAGAAATTGGCTAAAGGGCCCTATGATGGTTTCAGGCAGGCTAGATCAAGACAACCAAACAATGCCATCTGGGTATGATTCGGCTGTTACAGAGCTATGTTTTCCTGTTTTGGCATCATTCTTGAATAGGCTCTGCTTCCAAAACATAGCAAAGGTTCACCCAGTTCTCGATCTTACATCCTACCTATTTACCAGCCTCAGTGGCACAATACCAATTCAATTAAGGTCACCAAGCAGCAATACATTGTGTTCAGGGGCTAATTCACTTGTGAGGTGCACTATAGGCAAGTACCATACAGATCTGACCCCAGAATACCCCACGGGGCTTGGGCTTGCCTGAAGACTTGGATCCAAGAGTGGATGACCCAAGCCGACGAGTGGTCACCCCAATCTTTCTCCGGGAGCTTGATGGAGCCTTGGATGATGTGGAACTGGCAGAAGAAGGTCTATTACCATCCACAGAATCTTCATCATCAAAATTTTTATCTGAATAGTAAGCACAGAAGTTATGACAGACAGACAGACAGACAGACAGACAGACAGACAGACAGAGACAGACAGACAGACATGGGGGTGGGGGGAAGGGGTAAACAAGAGACACAGAAAACTTTTTCATCTATAAATACAATAACCACTAAACTTGAAGACAAACGGTTGATCTGCTCCTTTAGAACCAGACATCTGACCATCGGACAGCCTCAGGTTAAATCCATAATGCAGCTGCAAAGACCTTGCTTGCCCTTGTATATCTAGCACGCTCTCCCATTCAACGTCAAAAATATTTCTGACTGTGCTTCCTGCATTTTTAAATATTACCTGAGCCTATGTATTGGAATACTGCTTGCTTCTAACATCATTTTTCCTTTGTGACCAAATATCTTTATAAACACTATTTTAAGATGCTTCATAATTGGAAAATGCCATTATTGAAACACACATTGTTAGGTATTTCAGGATGTTGCTGAGATCTTATCCTTAGAGATAATACTCATCACCTTTCTATATGTATTTTATTTTTGTCTGAACTCAAAGTTTTAAGAAAGAACCCACTGGGACCAATATTCGTGGATCAAAGGTACATGATACTGCCAAATTTATCTACAGGAAGGTACGTTTTTCCTGGAAATTCAGAGTAACCAATTTGTCACATACTTACCACATACTTAAAAATTATCATTTTTAAACTCCAACCAATGAACTTCAACCAAAAAAAGCTTCTTCTTTGTTAATTTCTCTTTAGTGAAGTTGAACCTTTTTTTTAATAAACATTAATCTTTAAATTTTCTAAATAGCAGTGGATACAATCAGTACATTACTCATGTTGCATTTGAAGGAACAAAAAGTACTTTCAGACTCAAAAAGCAACACTAATAAATTACTATTATTTATTAATGGTGTAAAATAATGAGTCATTCAGGAGGCTAAATAAACTTGACATAATTAAAAAACAAAACAAATCACATCTGTAGCAGGCAATATTAATAATTTCTGAAAAGGGATTAGCTCCTTACTAATGGGTCTGAAGAAAAAATTTAACGAAAAAAGAAAGCCAACAATAGATATGAATTAACATTGTTTTTCTTGATCTTCTTGCTTCTCACCTAAACTATCAAGAGCCAAACCCCATATTTACTCATGGTCCCACTGGTCCCTACAGCTCACCAACAATGTATTTCAAATTACATGGTTTACTTTATTCCATATGGGAGGGAGGGAGGGGGAGACACATCCTCACAAACCCAAGCGCTTTTACGCAAAAGGCTTTTCAAGTTCCCAGATTGGTCTTATCCCGTCTCAGCATGCTTCATCTAATCCACACCTCAGTTTCTTACTGGTTCATACATGCAGTGTTCTACTAGCGCACAATACAGTCCACGGGGTTTAGAAGGTGAGTCACAAACTGCAGAGCACATCTCCCAGGCCCTCTTCAGGAGGGAAACTGAAGTCCAATGTAAAGGACAAATCTGAGACAAAGGAGAGGCCACCCCGTGAGCATGCCAGTTAGCAGTGCCAAGAGCCGAGCTCAGCCTATCTGTCCCATAAGGAGCTCCCAGAGCACCTCAGCCTCCTAGGCCACCATGTTACCTAACTGCAATCATTATTCTGCCTACAGGAAGGAAGCCCCAGGTTGTTGGGAGAGCAAAAAATGAATGGGGGGATACTATTGTGCTTCACGCAAAAATTAACGTAAACTAAGCCTGGCTTAGTCCTCTAACATGCCACAGAGCAATGCCATTTAGAACTGTATTCAGAGAATACAGAGTTACTGTCAGCAGACAAATTCTTGGGATTTCTGCTTGCAGAAGCACCAGGCTTAACTTTCCAGTAAATAGCTAGAAAATCAATATATCTCCCCAGATATTTGACAGCAGGCACCATGGAACTGTGATCCTGAAAGGGACAAATACATAAGCTAAATTCCACAGCGATCCAACTTTTCCTAAGCATAGAGAAAGGGAATCCAAGTTAAACTTGGTAGCCTTCCAAGTTGAGAAATGAACAGTTCAGGGAGGCAGAGCTGGCTAGGGTTCTAGAGAACTACAAAAGTGTGCCACGTTCTAGACCTTACATATGTAAGCAAACATACACAAAGCAGAGGAAAAAAAAAAAAACCAGAAAAGTGTACACTGAGCAATTTACAATGTTTAAACAAAGTATGCAGATATGTTCAGGCTTCATCAGTCACAGTGAAATAAATTTTGTTTTCAGTGACACACCCACGATATCTGACAGAGACCCAGGTGAGGTCACATCTTCCTAGGGTCAAGGATACATTAAACACATCTTATCAGAGCCCAAAAAACAGTCCTCAAAGAGATTAGACAGATCTGCACAGTGACAGAACTTATCTAATATTAAGTTCATAAGACAGGGTGATAAAGATAAATAAAAGAAATAAACTCTCACTGCCTTAGTATCAGCTAGTACAATGCAGTCTAAAACTACTCCCAGTAGGTTGGTGGAAGGGAAAGTGCAGAAAAAGACTGCTACAAATGATGGCCAAAACCTTTCAAAATATGATATAAACTATGAACCCATGTATCCAAGAAGCTAAAACATCAAGTAAACTACACACAAGGGAAAAATGCACCAAGGTACATTGTCACCAAATTGCTCAAAACCAGAGAAAAGCAGCCACAGGGAAAATAGGCACATTACACACGTTACAAACACAAAAATGTCAGTAGCCCTCATCAGAAATCTTTGCAGCCAAAATTGAATGACATCTTAAAAGAAAGTATTAACTTAATAATAGTCTGTATCCAGTAAATATACATTATGAGAATAAAGGCAAAATCATTATTCAGACAAAGAATTTGTCACCACCAGACTTAAGCTTCAAAAAATCTTTAGGCAAAAGAAAAATGATACCGATTGGAAACATGGATTTACACAAAAAAATGAGCAGTAAAGATAATATATGGATGAATACAAAAACTTTTCCTCATATTTTATCTCCCCATATTTTCATTTCTCTAAAAAGAAATAACTGTTTAAAGCTCAAATAGAGGCGGGTAGATGGCTCAGTAGAATAAATGCTTGCCCGGCAAGTGCAAGGTCCTGAGTTCAATCCCCAGTTCTGCCAAAAAATAAAAAATAAAGCTCAAACAGAGCACCCACATGTTTACTTTTCATTCCTTCTGTTCTGAGCAGATCACTTGGTGACCAGAGAAATCATAGGGTGGATATTCCTGTTGCTACAGGAGAAGCACAAAGCTACAGGGGAGATAAGGGATAAAAAAACAGGAGTGGCTCTTGTTCTGTCCCCAGAAAGTATGTTTTGGAAGTTAACATCCTTTCCCCCAGATTGAAGACATCACATGATCAAGCTCCACCGAGAGGCAGACCTTTCATAGCTACCATCTGAAGGGAAATGCCTCTCAGGGAACAGAAGGGGAGAAAGGCTTTTTAAGCGTGTGCTGGAGGGTCTTACTTGCTCTTTTTACCTGCCAGAGCTCTGGAAACAAATCTACCAAGCATACTTACCTAATTTGCTAAGCAGATTAGAAGCAACTAATTATAGGGATGGTAAGACGGGGACACAGGAGCCAAACAAAGTGATACTAATAAGAAGTGACAGTGGAAAGCCTGATCACTAACTACAAACTACAAAAAGCAGCACATGTAGAGAAAAGCCTGCAACCCCAACCTGCTTAGAATGCAGTGACAGTACAAGGGTCAAATGACATCTATGTAATGTAATAGCACAAGATCAGGTGTGTGTAAGAATGACCTTGCACCTTCAATATAAGATGCAATTATTACTCATTTCTCTGTATACTAATGAAAATAGTAATCCCTATTTCCTGCTTGAGTTAGAAATTCAGGGAAAAGAGAATATTTACTTTCTAGATTAACAACTGGATATAATGCTTTAAATTTATGAGAACTTTGCCTGAAAAGATGTTTGCAGGATAAAGCACAATGGAGGCTATGGTTTGAAAATGTATGTAACTTACTCTTTGAGTTTGATACATTTCCCAGGGTTTTTGGACACTCCCAAATTAAACTCAATTAAAAAGACCAGGTCGTCAGAAAGGTACCGAGCTTCAGTTAACCTGGAAATTCCCTTACACAGAGTGCATCATTCCTTAATGGGCAAATAAACTGGATCTGGGTAGAGTGGGTGTGGAGGCTGTTCTGCATGTGGAGTCGAACACCCCCAAACGCTAGCATATTATTCTCCTTTATAGCAATGCATACAGAACTTATTAAAGTAAGTTCCCCTTTTCTTTAGGTTTTTAGCTAAGCAGATACGTGTTAGCATACACCTTCTCTTAGGAGAGCAAGAAGATATGGACTGAAGATGTGCAGTTTTAACTAGGAAAGCTTGTCCCATTATGCCAGTTTAAATTTTCTTACACAATACAATAACATATGTTACATATAGAAAAATGCTGTGAAAGAGTAAGTTCTCACTGATCCCCCCCCCAAATAATTCTGTCTTTAACCACTACCAAGAGGATGATCTTCCACCACTACTTCTTTCATCTGCTTGTCAGGGAACACAAGCCTGCTCTAAGTTTACCAGAACCTTCTGTTCCCAGCCACCATCCTCTCCTTTCATCCCAAAAATCATCTGAGGGGCTGGGGACATAGCTTAGCAGTCTAAGTGCCTGCCTGGTGAGCGCAAGAATCTGGGTTCTATCCCCGGTGCCATATGCTGGCCGGCCCTGTATGGGCACTCATTCAAATCAAAAGTGTACAGCCTGGATAAAAAGAACTAAAATTAACACTATTTACAGATGACTTGATCTTGTAGACAGAAAATGCTTAAGAATTCACTAGCAAACTAGAAGCAATAAATGAATTCATTGAGGTTGAAGGACATAAACCATTATTTACTATGAAAAATCCAAAACTGAAACTGAGAAAACAATTCAACGTTAGCATAAAGAAAAATAAAATATTTAACAACAACAGGGAGGGTCATACATTTTTACTAAAAATATTGTTGGGAATAATGCAAGATGGTCTAATAGAGG